CATCAGTGATGTAACCTGGGGTCATTGGGTGTTTCAGGTGTATCAGCTATAATGTAAAGGGTATAAATAGTCCAATTAAGAGAAAAAACTACACTGTTCTATAGCAATGATACAAGAGACACAGTTGACAGAAGAAGAGCACTTAAAACTAGAGAATGCAATTTCTGAAGAAATTGCGAATGGGATTGCTCCATTTGAAATTGCTATCGCTTAACTGCTATTGTGAATGGCTTAATTTTGAAAGTCTATGAAAGCTAAGTATGTTTGAATTTTGAGGAAGCTTTGAATTTGTTTGAATGATTTGGATGGATTCATTGAAAAGTGAATAAATTTTATGAAGAAAAAAAATAAATGTTTTAAAAATTAAATTGATTAAAATCCTGAAGTTTCAGAAAGGTTTGAATCAGCTTGAATGAGTTGGAATTTCATAGAAGAATAGAATGATGTATGAATCGTAAGAAAATTGACTTAAATCAAGAAAAACTAAATCAGTTTGAATAATTTTTAATTTGTTTGAAGAATTAAATAATGCATGAATAGTAAAAATGACTCTAGTGTGGAAAAAAATTTTAATGAAAAAAAATCCTGAATGCATCCCATAATGTCCTCAATGAGTTGAATTTATTTAGCCCTGGATGGTTTCTGTAGCTCAAAGTTTGTGGGTAGAGATAGATGACAAAGTTTGTCTTGTGAAGGGTTATAAATGTAACCCCCGGTACTCTGTGTACTGAGCCTGGCTTCATGTGTCTTATACAGCCACTAGAAGCAGCTTTCCAGCCAGCTGTGTGTCTCCAGGTGCTCTAATTGGTTGCCATGGTGACAGTAGATGCATTACTACAGCAGAAGAAAGGGGGCTTGAGGCTGAGAGAGCAATGCCCAAACAACGCCCTAATTCACATCCTCTGTAACCGCTATCTTCATGATAATGAGCTTGTGAGAACCACAAGTCCCGGCTAAACAGGTTGACACAACTTCTGTGTCTGTGGAGCCAAAAATGCCTTCACTAGGACAAGTTAAAAACATGTCCAGTTTGTGTTTCCTCTGAAAATGCTCCTCTCAGGTTTATATTGGAGTCAATGGAGAAAGCTGGAGAAATGTTGGGGATGACTGTGGCAGTTCGTGTCTGCCCAGGCCACTGTGTGTGTCCTATGGCTTTGATTTTTGAGATGAAGAGTGACAGCAAGTTTTGCCATCACTGTATCAAATATTATCTGTGTAGAGTGAAGTGAGTTGCCACAATCCTTTTGTAAAGACAAAGTTTTGGGGATAAATTTTCAGCCCCTCTCACTCTAGCGATGAGGTCACCCACTCTAGCTGCCAACATTCCATGCAATACACACTAATGTTAAAACCTGAAGAGGTCAGAAAATCCTGTGACTTTTTGAACTGTCACTGTGAAAAAAGTATGAAGGTCATGAAGATGGTGAATGAATGAGTGAATGTCTGAAGGTGGGTGAATGTTTTAAAGTTTGAATGAAGTTTCTAGGTGAAAGTATGAATGAATGAGAAGAGGTTGAAGTTGACTACGTCTGAAGCCCTTTTCCCATTGAATCCCATTATAACGAAGTTTTAAACTAATCTTAATATTTTGAAAAGTACAAATGGGATTAAAAATGTTGAAGATGTGGAATAATGCTGAAGAATTTGTGAATATTTTGGTTTTTGAATGAAGTTTCTACGTGGAAGTATAGCGGAGTTGAAGGCTTTTGAAGTTTGAAGCCAATTTGAACATTCCGTAATGCATTTCTAATGGGAGAAATCGGTCGGAAAACCTGGAATATCTCGGAAAGTATGAATGTTTGGAAATTTTTGAATACAAGCCGGAATCTCCTCAATGAGATGAATCTTTTGAAGTTTGAATGGTTTGAATACGTTGAAGTATGTGGAAGGAGTAGCGGTCCAAAAAACGGTGGAAGAATAATAACTAGAAAATGCAATTTCTGAAGAAATTGCGAGTGGGATTGCTTCAGTTGAAATTGCTAGCGCTACGCTGCTATTGCGAATGGCTGAATTTTAAAATATGTGAAAGGTCAAAAGGTATGAAGAATCAGGAAGATTTGAATCAATTGGAATAAACTCAATTGAATGAATTGAATAATGCATGAATAACAGTTTTAGAAAATTCAACATCTGAAAATTAAAATGATTAAAAACCCTGAAGTATGGGAAAGGCTTGAAGAACCAATAAGTTTTGAATCAGTTTAAATGAGTTGGAATTTGTTTGAAAGAACTGAATAATGTATTAAGAGTAAAAAATATTTAAAACTGGAGAATTAAAAGGTTACAAATCTGGAAGAAAAAGAGGTTTGAAGAATCAAAACGGTTTAAATCAGTTTGAAGGAAATAAATTAGTTTGAAGAACTAAATAATTTATTTTCAATGAATGATTGAAAAATTGGGACAATGTAAATGAAAAAAAATCCTGATTTGACCCCATAATGTCCTCAATGAGCTGAATTTATTAAGCCCTGGATGGTTTCTGTAGCTCAAGGTTTGTGCGAAGAGATAGATGACAAAGTTCGTCAAATAACTCTATTGAAGGGTTTTAAATGTAACCCCCAGTACTCTGTGTACTGAGCCTGGCTTCATGTGTCTCATATGGCTGTTAGAAGCAGCTTTCCAGCCAGCTGTGTGTCTCCAGGTGCTCCCTTTGGTTGCCATGGTGACGATAGATGCTTAACAACAGCAGGAGAAAGGAGGCTTGAGGCTGAGAACGTAATGCCCAAACAACGTCATATTTCTCATCCTCTGTAACTGCTATCTTCATGATAATGAGCTTGTGAGAACCACAAGACCCGGCTGAACACGTTGATACAACTTCTGTGTCTGTGGAGCCAAAAATGCCTTCACTACGACAAGTTAAAAACATGTCCAGTTTGTGTTTCCTCTGAAAATCCTCCTCTCAGGTTTACATTGGAGTCAATGGAGAAAGCTGGAGAAATTTGGGGGATGTCTGTGGCAGTTGGTGTCTGCCCAGGCCACTGTGTGTGTCCTATGGCTTTGATTTTTTAGATGAAGAGTGACAGCGAGTTTTGCCATCACTGTACCAATTTTTATCTGTGTAGAGCGAAGTGAGTTGCCACAATCCTTTTGTAAAGACAAAGTTTTGAGGATTAATTTTCAGCCTGTCTCACTCTAGCTGTGAGGTCACCCACTCTAGCTGCCAACATTCCGTGCAATACACACTAATGTTAAAACCTGAACAGGTCTGAAAATCTTTGGACTTTTTGAACTGTCACTGTGAGGAAAGTATGAATGCCATGAAGATGGTGAATGAATGAGTGAATGTCTGAAGATGTGTGAATATTTTAAAGTTTGAATGAAGTTTCTAGGTGAAAGTATGAATGAATGAGAAGAGGTTGAAGTTGACTACGTCTGAAGCCCTTTTCCCATTGACTTCCATTATAACGAAGTTTTAAACAAATCTTAATATTTTGAAAAGTACAAATGGGATTAAAAATGTTGAAGATGTGGAATAATGCTGACGAATTTGTGAATATTTTGGTTTTTGAATGAAGTTTCTACGTGGAAGTATAGAGGAGTTGAAGGCTTTTGAAGTTTGAAGCCAATTTGAACATTCCGTAATGCATTTCTAATGGGAGAAATCGGTCGGAAAACCTGGAATATCTCGGAAAGTATGAATGTTTGGAAATTTTTGAATACAAGCCGGAATCTCCGGAATGAGAAGAATCTTTTGAAGTTTGAATGGTTTGAATACGTTGAAGTATGTGGAAGTAGTTGACTGCCAAAAAACGGCGGAATAATAATAATAACTAGAAAATGCAATTTCTGAAGAAATTGCGAGTGGGATTGCTTCAGTTGAAATTGCTATCGCTAAGCTGCTATTGCGAATGGCTGAATTTTAAAAATATGTGAAAGGTCAAAAGGTATGAAGTATCAGGAAGATTTGAATCAATTGGAATAAACTCAATTGAATGAATTGAATAATGCATGAATAATAATTTTGAAATTTCCACGTTTGAAAATTAAAATGATTAAAAACCCTTAAGTTTGGGAAAGGCTTGAAGAATCAATAAGTTTTGAATCAGTGTAAATGAGTTGGAATTTGTTTGAAAGAACTGAATAATGCAGTAAGAGTAAAAAATGATTTAAAACTGGAAAATTAAAAGGTTACAAATCTAGAAGAAAAAGAGGTTTGAAGAATCAAAACAGTTTAAATCAGTTTGAAGGAAATAAATTAGTTTGAAGAACTAAATAATGCATTTTCAATGAATGATTGAAAAATGGGGACAATGTAAATGAATAAAAATCCTTATTAGACCGCATTATGTCCTCAATGAGCTGAATTTATTAAGCCCTGGATGGTTTCTGTAGCTCAAGGTTTGTGCGAAGAGATAGATGACAAATTTCGTCAAATAACGCTATTGAAGGGTTTTAAATGTCACCCCCAGTACTCTGTGTACTGAGCCTGGCTTCATGTGTCTCATATGGCTGTTAGAAGCAGCTTTCCAGCCAGCTGTGTGTCTCCAGGTGCTCCCTTTGGTTGCCATGGTGACGATAGATGCTTAACAACAGCAGGAGAAAGGAGGCTTGAGGCTGAGAACGTAATGCCCAAACAACGTCATATTTCTCATCCTCTGTAACTGCTATCTTCATGATAAGGAGCTTGTGAGAACCACAAGGCCCGGCTGAACACGTTGATACAACTTGTTGTTTGTGGAGCCAAAAATGCCTTCACTACGACAAGTTAAAAACATGTCCAGTTTGTGTTTCCTCTGAAAATCCTCCTCTCAGGTTTACATTGGAGTCAATGGAGAAAGCTGGAGAAATCTGGGGGATGTCTGCGGCAGTTGGTGTCTGCCCAGGCCACTGTGTGTGTCCTATGGCCTTTGATTTTTTAGATGAAGAGTGACAGCGAGTTTTGCCATCACTGTACCAAATTTTATCTGTGTAGAGCGAAGTGAGTTGCCACAATCCTTTTGTAAAGACAAAGTTTTGAGGATCGATTTTCAGCCTGTCTCACTCTAGCTGTGAGGTCACCCACTCTAGCTGCCAACATTCCGTGCAATACACACTAATGTTAAAACCTGAACAGGTTAGAAAATCTTTGGACTTTTTGAACTGTCACTGTGAGAAAAGTATGAATGCCATGAAGATGGTGAATGAATGAGTGAATGTCTGAAGATGTGTGAATATTTTAAAGTTTGAATGAAGTTTCTAGGTGAAAGTATGAATGAATGAGAAGAGGTTGAAGTTGACTACGTCTGAAGCCCTTTTCCCATTGACTGCCATTATAACGAAGTTTTAAACAAATCTTAATATTTTGAAAAGTACAAATGGGATTAAAAATGTTGAAGATGTGGAATAATGCTGACGAATTTGTGAATATTTTGGTTTTTGAATGAAGTTTCTACGTGGAAGTATAGAGGAGCTGAAGGCTTTTGAAGTTTGAAGCCAATTTGAACATTCCGTAATGCATTTCTAATGGGAGAAATCGGTCGGAAAACCTGGAATATCTCGGAAAGTATGAATGTTAGGAAATTTTTGAATACAAGCCGGAATCTCCTCAACGAGATGAATCTTTTGAAGTTTGAATGGTTTGAATACGTTGAAGTATGTGGAAGTAGTTGACTGCCAAAAAACGGCGGAATAATAATAACTAGAAAATGCAATTTCTGAAGAAATTGCGAGTGGGATTGCTTCAGTTGAAATTGCTATCGCTACGCTGCTATTGCGAATGGCTGAATTTTAAAAATATGTGAAAGGTCAAAAGGTATGAAGTATCAGGAAGATTTGAATCAATTGGAATAAACTCAATTGAATGAATTGAATAATGCATGAATAATAATTTTGAAATTTCCACGTTTGAAAATTAAAATGATTAAAAACCCTGAAGTTTGGGAAAGGCTTGAAGAATCAATAAGGTTTGAATCAGTTTAAATGAGTTGTAATTTGTTTGAAAGAACTGAATAATGCAGTAAGAGTAAAAAATGATTTAAAACTGGAAAATTAAAAGGTTACAAATCTGGAAGAAAAAGAGGTTTGAAGAATCAAAATGGTTTACATCAGTTTGAAGGAAATAAATTAGTTTGAAGAACTAAATAATGCATTTTCAATGAATGATTGAAAAATGGGGACAATGTAAATGAATAAAAATCCTGATTAGACCCCATAATGTCCTCAATGAGCTGAATTTATTAAGCCCTGGTTGGTTTCTGTAGCTCAAGGTTTGTGCGAAGAGATAGATGACAAATTTTGTCAAATAACTCTATTGAAGGGTTTTAAATGTAACCCCCAGTACTCTGTGTACTGAGCCTGGCTTCATGTGTCTCATATGGCTGTTAGAAGCAGCTTTCCAGCCAGCTGTGTGTCTCCAGGTGCTCTTATTGGTTGCCATGGTGACGATAGATGCTTAACAACAGCAGGAGAAAGGAGGCTTGAGGCTGAGAGCGTAATGCCCAAACAACGTCATATTTCTCATCCTCTGTAACTGCTATCTTCATGATCAGGAGCTTGTGAGAACCACAAGGCCCGGCTGAACACGTTGATACAACTTCTGTGTTTGTGGAGCCAAAAATGCCTTCACTACAACAAGTTAAAAACATGTCCAGTTCATGTTTCCTCTGAAAATCCTCCTCTCAGGTTTACATTGGAGTCAATGGAGAAAGCTGGAGAAATCTGGGGGATGTCTGCGGCAGTTGGTGTCTGCCCAGGCCACTGTGTGTGTCCTATGGCTTTGATTTTTTAGATGAAGAGTGACAGCGAGTTTTGCCATCACTGTACCAAATTTTATCTGTGTAGAGTGAAGTGAGTTGCCACAATCCTTTTGTAAAGACAAAGTTTTGAGGATCAATTTTCAGCCTGTCTCACTCTAGCTGTGAGGTCACCCACTCTAGCGGCCAACATTCCGTGCAATACACACTAATGTTAAAACCTGAACAGGCCAGAAAATCATGTGAATTTTTGAACTGTCACTGTGAGAAAAGTATGAATGCCATGAAGATGGTGAATGAATGAGTGAATGTCTGAAGATGTGTGAATATTTTAAAGTTTGAATGAAGTTTCTAGGTGAAAGCATGAATGAATGAGAAGAGGTTGAAGTTGACTACGTCTGAAAGCCTTTTCCCATTGAATCCCATTATAACGAAGTTTTAAACAGATCTTAATATTTTGAAAAGTACAAATGGGATTAAAAAGGTTGAAGATGTGGAATAATGCTGAAGAATTTGTGAATATTTTGGTTTTTGAATGAAGTTTCTACGTGGAAGTATAGCGGAGTTGAAGGCTTTTGAAGTTTGAAGCCAATTTGAACATTCCATAATGCATTTCTAATGGGAGAAATCGGTCGGAAAACCTGGAATATCTCGGAAAGTATGAATGTTAGGAAATTTTTGAATACAAGCCGGAATCTCCTGAATGAGATGAATCTTTTGAAGTTTGAATGGTTTGAATACGTTGAAGTATGTGGAAGGAGTAGCGTGTCAAAAAACGGTGGAAGAATAATAATAATAACTAGAAAATGCAATTTCTGAAGAAATTGCGAGTGGGATTGCTTCAGTTGAAATTGCTAGCGCTACGCTGCTATTGCGAATGGCTGAATTTTAAAATATGTGAAAGGTCAAAAGGTATGAAGAATCAGGAAGATTTGAATCAATTGGAATAAACTCGATTGAATGAATTGAATAATGCATGAATAACAATTTTAGAAAATTCAACATCTGAAAATTAAAATGATTAAAAACCCTGAAGTATGGGAAAGGCTTGAAGAACCAATAAGTTTTGAATTTGTTTGAAAGAACTGAATAATGTATTAAGAGTAAAAAATATTTAAAACTGGAGAATTAAAAGGTTACAAATCTGGAAGAAAAAGAGGTTTGAAGAATCAAAACGGTTTAAATCAGTTTGAAGGAAATAAATTAGTTTGAAGAACTAAATAATTTATTTTCAATGAATGATTGAAAAATGGGGACAATGTAAATGAAAAAAAAATCCTGATTTGACCCCATAATGTCCTCAATGAGCTGAATTTATTAAGCCCTGGATGGTTTCTGAAGCTCAAGGTTTGTGCGAAGAGATAGATGACAAAGTTCGTCAAATAACTCTATTGAAGGGTTTTAAATGTAACCCCCAGTACTCTGTGTACTGAGCCTGGCTTCATGTGTCTCATATGGCTGTTAGAAGCAGCTTTCCAGCCAGCTGTGTGTCTCCAGGTGCTCCCTTTGGTTGCCATGGTGACGATAGATGCTTAACAACAGCAGGAGAAAGGAGGCTTGAGGCTGAGAACGTAATGCCCAAACAACGTCATATTTCTTATCCTCTGTAACTGCTATCTTCATGATAATGAGCTTGTGAGAACCACAAGACCCGGCTGAACACGTTGATACAACTTCTGTGTCTGTGGAGCCAAAAATGCCTTCACTACGACAAGTTAAAAACATGTCCAGTTTGTGTTTCCTCTGAAAATCCTCCTCTCAGGTTTACATTGGAGTCAATGGAGAAAGCTGGAGAAATTTGGGGGATGTCTGTGGCAGTTGGTGTCTGCCCAGGCCACTGTGTGTGTCCTATGGCTTTGATTTTTTAGATGAAGAGTGACAGCGAGTTTTGCCATCACTGTACCAATTTTTATCTATGTAGAGCGAAGTGAGTTGCCACAATCCTTTTGTAAAGACAAAGTTTTGAGGATTAATTTTCAGCCTGTCTCACTCTAGCTGTGAGGTCACCCACTCTAGCTGCCAACATTCCGTGCAATACACACTAATGTTAAAACCTGAACAGGTATGAAAATCTTTGGACTTTTTGAACTGTCACTGTGAGAAAAGTATGAATGCCATGAAGATGGTGAATGAATGAGTGAATGTCTGAAGATGTGTGAATATTTTAAAGTTTGAATGAAGTTTCTAGGTGAAAGTATGAATGAATGAGAAGAGGTTGAAGTTGACTACGTCTGAAGCCCTTTTCCCATTGACTTCCATTATAGCGAAGTTTTAAACAAATCTTAATATTTTGAAAAGTACAAATGGGATTAAAAATGTTGAAGATGTGGAATAATGCTGACGAATTTGTGAATATTTTGTTTTTTGAATGAAGTTTCTACGTGGAAGTATAGAGGAGTTGAAGGCTTTTGAAGTTTGAAGCCAATTTGAACATTCCGTAATGCATTTCTAATGGGAGAAATCGGTCGGAAAACCTGGAATATCTCGGAAAGTATGAATGTTTGGGAATTTTTGAATACAAGCCGGAATCTCCGGAATGAGACGAATCTTTTGAAGTTTGAATGGTTTGAATACGTTGAAGTATGTGGAAGTAGTTGACTGCCAAAAAACGGCGGAATAATAATAATAATAATAATAATAACTAGAAAAATTGCATTTCCTTGCAGAAAATGCGTGGAAATGCTGAGTGCTGAAAGCTGAAAAAGCAATGCTAAACTGCTAATAAAACATGGAGAAAGGTATAAATGTTAAAGCTGTTGAAGGGGTGAAAAAAAATATAAGTTGGATAATTGTTTAATTGGTTGAAGGACAAATAGTATGAATATGCTCTATAAAAGGAAATTTTATTCATGCTGAAAGAGGCTAGAAAAATGTCTAAAATTGCACAAAGTTTGAATGAAGAAGGAAATTGCCTTTAAAGGCAGGAAGGTGAGAAGTGGCATAAGTTTAAGTTGTAGTACTAGAAGTAGTATGATAAGTAGTCGAGTAGTGATATTAGTAGTCATGTCAGCAGTAGAAGTAGTTTGAGAAAAAAGTATAAGTCAAAGTAGTAGAGAAAGTAGAAATAGTAGCAATAGCAGCAGTAGAGAAAGTAGAAATCGGAGCAATAGCAGTTGAAGTAGAGGGGAAAGTTCTAGTTTAATTGACATTAGCAGTAGTTGTAGCTCTAGAGGTGGGATTTTTTTTGAAGGATGGAATAATGCATAAATATTAAAACTAATTTAAATCAGGGTAAATTTAAATTATTAAAAAGCCTCAAGTATCAGTAAGATTTTAAGTATCAGAAAGGTATGAATGAGTTTGAATGAGTTTAAATTAGTTTACAAATTAAAAAATAAATCAACACTGAGTGACTTTAAAATTTGAAAAATGTAAATGAAGAAAAATCCTGAATACACCCCATAATGTCCCCAATGAGCTTAAATTTTAAAGCCCTGAATGGTTTCTGTAGGTCAAAGGTCATGTGAGGAGATGGGGGCTGAAGTTTTTTCAAGCGCTCTAGGAAAGGGTTTTAAGTGTCATCCCCAGTCCTATGTGTACTGAGCCTGGCTTCATGTGTCTCATATGGCCATTAGAAGCAGCTTTCCAGTCAGCTGTGTGTCTCCAGGTGCACAAATTGGTTGCCATGGGGACCCTGGATGCAGAACTAAAGCAGGAGAAAGAAGGCTTGAAGCTAAGGAAACAGGACTCCAAGTAGGCCCTGACGCTCATCCTCTGTATATATTTATAAGGAGCTTGTGAGAACACAAGACTCTGCTGAACACATTAATACAATTTATTATCACAATCCTCAAAACACCCCATAATATCTTCAATGAGCTGAATTTTTGAAGCCCAGAATGGTTTCTGTAGCTCAAAGTTTGTGGGTGGAGATAGGTGGTGAAGCAGACACATATTATCTGTGTGTACAAGCAGGTGAACTGCAAGGTAGACCTGACAATGCAACAAGTACAAGACTGTGTGTGTGTGTGTGTGTGTGTGTCTCATTAATTACTGCATCCCTAACAGCTGTGAGATCAAAGGCAAATCACTGACCTACTGTTTGAATGAGAAGCAGCTGAACAGCAGAGGTTTTGAAGCCTGTGAACTTCTTCACATAGCGTGATTTCCTTAAGTCCCAGAATGAAAATAAGAACATCGTACGAATCCTCCGTCCTTCATGAACACAATGATGTGTTTTTCATGTCTGTACTCCGAAAAATGTGGCTACAACAGCGAGTTAAAAAAGTCTAAACCTGAGTGACGATAAGGATTTTCTTGGAGAAAAAATACATTAGGGCCAATGGGGAGAGATTTCCGCCTATTCTGACAGTTGGTCACCTGCTGGCCAAGGGGTAGGATTTAATGATTTGAAACCTCTTTTGTGAGAAGCAGGACACATATACCTCCATTTTGATGTATTTTTTATGGCTGTGGAGTGAGATTTGTGGGCGTGGGAGCGATATATTCGAGCGAGGTTCTGTCGATCAGAGACGAGGTCTGCACTCTAGCTTTTCAAATCATCACTCTAGCCTCTCCAATACACCCCCATTATAAAGCCTGAAATTTGCTGAAAACCACAAGTTGCATAAAGCTAAATTGTGGAAAAACTGTAAAAGATAGCAAAAAAAGGTTAATACAACATCAATAGTCGACAAGACAATGAACATTTTAAAGCAAAAATTAGGTCTCTAGGTGAAAGTCTGCTGAAGTTATAAGGCATAGAAAGTGGACGAATAACAGGAAGAATTGGAACATTTCCCCATTCATTTCTATGGGAAAAAAAGTTTGGCACAAAAAGTGAAAAATAAAAAAAAGTATAAAGGGTAGAAAAGAGAAAAGTAATAGCCATCATGTACTGATGGAGTGGAATAGTTTAAAGTTTGAACGGTTGAAATCGGACAAAGTTTGAAGGAGGAGAAGCGGTCCAAAGAAACTTATGGGGAGAGTGTTAAGTATAATACTAGAAAAATTGCATTTCCTTGCAGAAAATGCGTGGAAATGCTGAGTGCTGAAAGCTGAAAAAGCAATGCTAAACTGCTAATAAAACATGGAGAAAGGTATAAATGTTAAAGCTGTTGAAGGGGTGAAAAAGAAATATAAGTTGGATAATGGTTTAATTGGTTGAAGGACAAATAGTATGAATATGCTCTATAAATGGAAATTTTATTCATGCTGAAAGAGGCTAGAAAAATGTCTAAAATTGCACAAAGTTTGAATGAAGAAGGAAATTGCCTTAAAAGGCAGGAAGGTGAGAAGTGGCATAAGTTTAAGTTGTAGTACTAGAAGTAGTTTGATAAGAGGTCAAGTTGTGATTCTAGTAGTCATGTCAGCAGTAGAAGTAGATTGAGAATAAAAGAAGTATAAGTCAAAGTAGTAAAGAAAGTAGAAATAGTAGCAATAGCAGCAGTAGAGAAAGTAGAAATAGGAGCAATAGCAGTTGAAGTAGAGGGGAAAGTTCTAGTTAAATTGACATTAGCAGTAGTTGTAGTACTAGAGGTAGGATTTTGTTTGAAGGACGAATTAATGCATAAATATTAAAACTAATATAAAACAGGGAAAATTTTATTAATTAAAAATCCTCAAGTATCAGAAAGTTTTGAAGTATTAGAAAGGTTTGAATCATTTTGAATGAGTTCAAATTAGTTTGAAAAATTAAATGATAAATCATCACTGAGTGACTTTAAAATGTGAAACATTTAAATGAATATAAATCCTAAACACACCCCATAATGTCCTCAATGAGCTTAAAGTTTAAAGCCCTGAATGGTTTCTGTAGGTCAAAGGTCATGTGAGGAGATAGGGGCTGAAGTTTTTTCTAGTGCTCTAGGAAAGGGTTTTAAGTGTCATCCCAAGTGCTATGTGTACTGAGCCTGGCTTCATGTGTCTCATATGGCCATCAGAAGCAGCTTTCCAGTCAGCTGTGTGTCTCCAGATGCACTAATTGGTTGCCATGGGGACCTTGGATGCATAACTATAGCAGGAGAAAAAATTGAAGCTAAGGAAACAGGACTCCAAGTAGGCCTTGACGCTCATCCTATGTATATATTAATGATAAGGAGCTTGTGAGAACACAAGACTCTGCTGAACACATTAATACAATGTATTATCACAATCCTCAAAACACCCCATAATATCTTCAATGAGCTGAATTTTTGAAGCCCAGAATGGTTTCTGTAGCTCAAAGTTTGTGGGTGGAGATAGGTGGTGAAGCAGACACATATTAACTGTGTGTACAAGCAGCTGAACTGCAAGGTGGACCTCAAAAAGCAACAAGTACAAGAATGTGTGTGTGTGTGTGTGTGTCTCGTTAATGACTGCATCCTAAACAGCTGTGAGATCAAAGGCAAATCACTAACCTGCTGTTTGACTGAGAGGTGCTGAACTGCAGTGAATTTCAGCCTGTGAACTTCTTCACATAGCGTGATTTCCTTAAGTCCCAGAATGAAAATAAGAACATTGTACGAATCCTCCGTCCTTCATGAACACAATGATGTGTTTTTCATGTCTGTACTCCGAAAAATGTGGCCACAACAGCGAGTTAAAAAAGTCTGAGCCTGAGCGATGATCCGGATTTTCTTGGAGAAAAATAACATTATGGTCAATGGGAGAGATTTCCGCCTTTTTTGGACAGTTGGTCACCTGCTGGCCAAGGGGTACGATTTAATGATTTGAAACCTCTTTTGTGAGAAGCAGGACACATATACCTCCATTTTGATGTATTTTTTATGGGTGTGGAGTGAGATTTGAGAGCGTGGGAGCGATATATTCGAGCGAGGTTCTGTCGATCAGAGACGAGCTCTGCACTCTAGCTGATGACATCATCACTCTAAACTCTCCAATACACACCCATTATAAAGCCTGAAATTTTCTGAAAACCACAAGTTGCTTAAAGCTAAATTGTGGAAGAACTGTAAAAGATATCAAAAAACTGAGTACAACTATAATAGTCGACAAGTGAATGAACATTTTAAAGCAAAAATGAGGTCTCTAGGTGAAAGTATGCTGAAGTTATAAGGTCTAGAAGGTGGAAGAATGAAAGGAAGAAGTTGAAGATTTCCCCATTGACTTCAATGTTAAAATTTTTGCACAAAAAGTTAAAAAAAACAAAAAGTATAAAGGGTAGAAAGAAAAAAAATAGACGCCATCATGTCCTGAAGGAGTGGAATAGTTTAAAGTTTGAACGGTTGAAATCGGACAAAGTTTGAAGGAGGAGAAGCGGTCCAAAAAAGGGACGGAAGAATAATAATAATAAGTTTAATAACTAGAAAATGCAATTTCTGAAGAAATTGCGAGTGGGATTGCTTCAGTTGAAATTGCTAGCGCTAAGCTGCTATTGCGAATGGCTGAATTTTAAAAATATGTGAAAGGTCAAAAGGTATGAAGTATCAGGAAGATTTGAAGATTTGAATCAATTTGAATAAACTCAATTGAATGAATTGAATAATGCATGAATAATAATTTTGAAAATTCAACGTATGAAAATTTAAATGATTAAAAACCCTGAAGCATGGGAAAGGCTTGAAGAATAAATAAGTTTTAAATGGGTTTAAATGAGTCTGAATTTGTTTGAAAGAACTGAAAAATGCTCTAAAAGTAAAAAATGATTTAAAACTGGAAAATAAGAAGGTTACAGATCTGGGAGAAAAAAGGGGTTTGAAGAATCGAAACGGTTTAAATCAGTTTGAAGGAGTGTAAATTAGTTTGAAGAGTTAAATAATGCATTTTCAATGAATGATTGAAAAATGGGGACAATGTAAATGAATAAAAATCCTTATTAGACCCCATAATGTCCTCAGTGAGCTGAATTTATTAAGCCCTGGATGGTTTCTGTAGCTCAAGGTTTGTGTGAAGAGATAGATGACAAAGTTAGTCAAATAACTCTACTGAAGGGTTTTAAATTGAACCCCCAGTACTCTGTGTACTGAGCCTGGCTTCATGTGTCTCATATGGCTGTTAGAAGCAGCTTTCCAGCCAGCTGTGTGTCTCCAGGTGCTCTTATTGGTTGCCATGGTGACAATAGATGCTTAACAACAGCAGGAGAAAGGAGGCTTGAGGCTGAGAACGTAATGCCCAAACAACGTCATATTCCTCATCCTCTGTAACTGCTATCTTCATGATCAGGAGCTTGTGACAACCACAAGGCCCGGCTGAACACGTTGATACAACTTCTGTGTTTGTGGAGCCAAAAATGCCTTCGCTACGACAAGTTAAAAACATGTCCAGTTTGTGTTTCCTCTGAAAATCCTCCTCTCAGGTTTACATTGGAGTCAATGGAGAAAGCTGGAGAAATCTGGGGGATGTCTGCGGCAGTTGGTGTCTGCCCAGGCCACTGTGTGTATCCTATGGCTTTGATTTTTTAGATGAAGAGTGACAGCGAGTTTTGCCATCACTGTACCAATTTTTATCTGTGTAGAGCGAAGTGAGTTGCCACAATCCTTTTGTAAACACAAAGTTTTGAGGATCAATTTTCAGCCCCTCTCACTCTAGCTGTGAGGTCACCCACTCTAGCGGCCAACATTCCGTGCAATACACACTAATGTTAAAACCTGAACAGGTTAGAAAATCTTTGGACTTTTTGGACTGTCACTGTGAGAAAAGTATGAATGCCATGAAGATGGTGAATGAATGAGTGAATGTCTGAAGATGTGTGAATATTTTAAAGTTTGAATGAAGTTTCTAGGTGAAAGTATGAATGAATGAGAAGAGGTTGAAGTTGAGTACGTCTGAAGCCCTTTTTCCATTGAATCCCATTATAACGAAGTTTTAAACAAATCTTAATATTTTGAAAAGTACAAATGGGATTAAAAATGTTGAAGATGTGGAATAATGCTGACGAATTTGTGAATATTTTGGTTTTTGAATGAAGTTTCTACGTGGAAGTATAGAGGAGTTGAAGGCTTTTGAAGTTGTGTGAAGAAAAGGGCCAATTTGAACATTCCGCAATGCATTTCCAATGGGAGAAATCGGTCGGAAAACCTGGAATATCTCGGAAAGTATGAATGTTAGGAAAATTTTGAACACAACCCGGAATCTCCTGAATGAGATGAATCTTTTGAAGTTTGAATGGTTTGAATACGTTGAAGTATGTGGAAGTAGTTGAGGTCCAAAAAACGGTGGAAGTGTGTTGAATAATAATAATAATAATAATAATAAAGATATGAATAACATATAGTGGGAATGCTTCGCAATCCCACTCAATAATAAAGAAACAGGAGAATAACAATAAGTGGAAATGCTTAATCAGCATTTCCACTTAATAATAAAGATATGAATAACATATAGTGGGAATGCTCTGCAATCCCACTCAATAAAGATATGAATAACATATAGTGGGAATGCTTCGCAATCCCACTCAATAATAATAACTAGAAAATGCAATTTCTGAAGAAATTGCGAGTGGGATTGCTTCAGTTGAAATTGCTAGCGCTACGCTGCTATTGCGAATGGCTGAATTTTAAAATATGTGAAAGGTCAAAAGGTATGAAGAATCAGGAAGATTTGAATCAATTGGAATAAACTCAATTGAATGAATTGAATAATGCATGAATAACAATTTTAGAAAATTCAACATCTGAAAATTAAAATGATTAAAAACCCTGAAGTATGGGAAAGGCTTGAAGAACCAATAAGTTTTGAATCAGTGTAAATGAGTTGGAATTTGTTTGAAAGAACTGAATAATGTATTAAGAGTAAAAAATATTTAAAACTGGAGAATTAAAAGGTTACAAATCTGGAAGAAAAAGAGGTTTGAAGAATCAAAACGGTTTAAATCAGTTTGAAGGAAATAAATTAGTTTGAAGAACTAAATAATGCATTTTCAATGAATGATTGAAAAATGGGGACAATGTAAATGAAAAAAAATCCTGATTTGACCCCATAATGTCCTCAATGAGCTGAATTTATTAAGCCCTGGATGGTTTCTGTAGCTCAAGGTTTGTGCGAAGAGATAGATGACAAATTTCGTCAAATAACGCTATTGAAGGGTTTTAAATGTCACCCCCAGTACTCTGTGTACTGAGCCTGGCTTCATGTGTCTCATATGGCTGTTAGAAGCAGCTTTCCAGCCAGCTGTGTGTCTCCAGGTGCTCCCTTTGGTTGCCATGGTGACGATAGATGCTTAACAACAGCAGGAGAAAGGAGGCTTGAGGCTGAGAACGTAATGCCCAAACAACGTCATATTTCTCATCCTCTGTAACTGCTATCTTCATGATAATGAGCTTGTGAGAACCACAAGACCCGGCTGAACACGTTGATACAACTTCTGTGTCTGTGGAGCCAAAAATGCCTTCACTACGACAAGTTAAAAACATGTCCAGTTTGTGTTTCCTCTGAAAATCCTCCTCTCAGGTTTACATTGGAGTCAATGGAGAAAGCTGGAGAAATTTGGGGGATGTCTGTGGCAGTTGGTGTCTGCCCAGGCCACTGTGTGTGTCCTATGGCTTTGATTTTTTAGATGAAGAGTGACAGCGAGTTTTGCCATCACTGTACCAATTTTTATCTGTGTAGAGCGAAGTGAGTTGCCACAATCCTTTTGTAAAGACAAAGTTTTGAGGATCAATTTTCAGCCTGTCTCACTCTAGCTGTGAGGTCACCCACTCTAGCTGCCAACATTCCGTGCAATACACACTAATGTTAAAACCTGAACAGGTATGAAAATCTTTGGACTTTTTGAACTGTCACTGTGAGAAAAGTATGAATGCCATGAAGATGGTGAATGAATGAGTGAATGTCTGAAGATGTGTGAATATTTTAAAGTTTGAATGAAGTTTCTAGGTGAAAGTATGAATGAATGAGAAGAGGTTGAAGTTGACTACGTCTGAAGCCCTTTTCCCATTGACTTCCATTATAACGAAGTTTTAAACAAATCTTAATATTTTGAAAAGTACAAATGGGATTAAAAATGTTGAAGATGTGGAATAATGCTGACGAATTTGTGAATATTTTGGTTTTTGAATGAAGTTTCTACGTGGAAGTATAGAGGAGTTGAAGGCTTTTGAAGTTTGAAGCCAATTTGAACATTCCGTAATGCATTTCTAATGGGAGAAATCGGTCGGAAAACCTGGAATATCTCGGAAAGTATGAATGTTTGGAAATTTTTGAATACAAGCCGGAATCTCCGGAATGAGACGAATCTTTTGAAGTTTGAATGGTTTGAATACGTTGAAGTATGTGGAAGAAGTTGACTGCCAAAAAACGGCGGAATAATAATAATAATAATAATAATAAAGATATGAATAACATATAGTGGGAATGCTCTGCAATCCCACTCAACTAGAAAATGCAATTTCTGAAGAAATTGCGAGTGGGATTGCTTCAGTTGAAATTGCTAGCGCTACGCTGCTATTGCGAATGGCTGAATTTTAAAATATGTGAAAGGTCAAAAGGTATGAAGAATCAGGAAGATTTGAATCAATTGGAATAAACTCAATTGAATGAATTGAATAATGCATGAATAACAATTTTAGAAAATTCAACATCTGAAAATTAAAATGATTAAAAACCCTGAAGTATGGGAAAGGCTTGAAGAACCAATAAGTTTTGAATCAGTGTAAATGAGTTGGAATTTGTTTGAAAGAACTGAATAATGTATTAAGAGTAAAAAATATTTAAAACTGGAGAATTAAAAGGTTACAAATCTGGAAGAAAAAGAGGTTTGAAGAATCAAAACGGTTTAAATCAGTTTGAAGGAAATAAATTAGTTTGAAGAACTAAATAATGCATTTTCAATGAATGATTGAAAAATGGGGACAATGTAAATGAAAAAAAATCCTGATTTGACCCCATAATGTCCTCAATGAGCTGAATTTATTAAGCCCTGGATGGTTTCTGTAGCTCAAGGTTTGTGCGAAGAGATAGATGACAAATTTCGTCAAATAACGCTATTGAAGGGTTTTAAATGTCACCCCCAGTACTCTGTGTACTGAGCCTGGCTTCATGTGTCTCATATGGCTGTTAGAAGCAGCTTTCCAGCCAGCTGTGTGTCTCCAGGTGCTCCCTTTGGTTGCCATGGTGACGATAGATGCTTAACAACAGCAGGAGAAAGGAGGCTTGAGGCTGAGAACGTAATGCCCAAACAACGTCATATTTCTCATCCTCTGTAACTGCTATCTTCATGATAATGAGCTTGTGAGAACCACAAGACCCGGCTGAACACGTTGATACAACTTCTGTGTCTGTGGAGCCAAAAATGCCTTCACTACGACAAGTTAAAAACATGTCCAGTTTGTGTTTCCTCTGAAAATCCTCCTCTCAGGTTTACATTGGAGTCAATGGAGAAAGCTGGAGAAATTTGGGGGATGTCTGTGGCAGTTGGTGTCTGCCCAGGCCACTGTGTGTGTCCTATGGCTTTGATTTTTTAGATGAAGAGTGACAGCGAGTTTTGCCATCACTGTACCAATTTTTATCTGTGTAGAGCGAAGTGAGTTGCCACAATCCTTTTGTAAAGACAAAGTTTTGAGGATCAATTTTCAGCCTGTCTCACTCTAGCTGTGAGGTCACCCACTCTAGCTGCCAACATTCCGTGCAATACACACTAATGTTAAAACCTGAACAGGTATGAAAATCTTTGGACTTTTTGAACTGTCACTGTGAGAAAAGTATGAATGCCATGAAGATGGTGAATGAATGAGTGAATGTCTGAAGATGTGTGAATATTTTAAAGTTTGAATGAAGTTTCTAGGTGAAAGTATGAATGAATAAGAAGAGGTTGAAGTTGACTACGTCTGAAGCCCTTTTCCCATTGACTTCCATTATAACGAAGTTTTAAACAAATCTTAATATTTTGAAAAGTACAAATGGGATTAAAAATGTTGAAGATGTGGAATAATGCTGACGAATTTCTGAATATTTTGGTTTTTGAATGAAGTTTCTACGTGGAAGTATAGAGGAGTTGAAGGCTTTTGAAGTTTGAAGCCAATTTGAACATTCCGTAATGCATTTCTAATGGGAGAAATCGGTCGGAAAACCTGGAATATCTCGGAAAGTATGAATGTTTGGAAATTTTTGAATACAAGCCGGAATCTCCGGAATGAGACGAATCTTTTGAAGTTTGAATGGTTTGAATACGTTGAAGTATGTGGAAGAAGTTGACTGCCAAAAAACGGCGGAATAATAATAATAATAATAATAATAAAGATATGAATAACATATAGTGGGAATGCTCTGCAATCCCACTCAACTAGAAAATGCAATTTCTGAAGAAATTGCGAGTGGGATTGCTTCAGTTGAAATCGCTATCGCTAAGCTGCTATTGCGAATCGCTGAATTTTGAAAATATGTGAAAGATAAGAAGGTTTGAATTATCAGGAAGATTTGAATCAACTTGAATAAACTCATTGAATGAATTGAATAATGCATGAATAACAATTTTTTTTTAAAATGTGAAAATAAAAATGTTCAAAAACCCTGAAGTATGGGAAAGGCTTGAAGGATCAGAAAGGTTTGAATCAGTTTAAATGAGCTGAAATTCGTTTGAAAAAATTTAATAATGAAGCAATAATGAAAATTATTTAAAACGGGAAAATTAAAATGATTTAAAATCCGGAAGTATGACAGGTATGAAAATTAAGGAAGGTTTGAATCAGTTAAAATGAGTTGGAATTAGTTTCAAGAATTTGATAATGCATGAATAGTGTAAATGATTAAAACAGGTAAAATTAAAATGATCATAATCTGGAAGTATGAGTGCTTTGAAGATTCAGAAAGGTTTGAATCCGTTTGAATGACTTTCAATGAGTTTAAAGAATAAAACAATGCATACTCAATGAGTGATTAAAAAATGGGGAAAATTCAAATTAATAAAAATCCTGATTAGACCCCATAATGTCCACAAGTCCCGGCTGAACAAGTTGATACAATTTCTGTGTTTGTGGAGCCAAAAATGTCTTCATTGTTATCACTAGGACAAGTTACATGCCAAGTTTGTGTGTAGTCTGAAAATCCTCCGCAGGATTCAACCGACGTGTCTGTGCATTACATGACGGTGGGAAATTTTAATTCTCAAATCGTCTTGTAGGAATCATCCATCGTATATTTGCATAATATTTGCTCCTTACCGTTTTCACACACACACACACACACACACACACACACACACACACACACACACACACACACACACACACACACACACACACACACACACAGAAACATAAAAACCTCTCTCTGTCGAAATTCCGACTGTCCCTGAATGCACCTCGACTACCAACGGTGGACGTGACGCTATTTAATTACTTCTGACTCCTGACTTTGAGGTAAGCGGCTGCATCTCTTTCACTTCTCCCCCAAATAATGTTTAATTCGCCGGTTTAGCACACCGTTAGTGTTCAAACTCCCGGAAACTAATGTGATAAGTCTCATTTAGTTTTCACATTACAGAAAGCCGTAGCAAAGTCCGTGTGAGATTAATTACACCTGTTTCGCCAAAGCTAACTGTAATGAAACTTACAGCCACCGCAACTGATAACGGTCGACGACGATTAACAGAGAAAGTCGCAGTCTCTTCTCCCCTAAATATTAAAACCTGCCGTTTTATTCTCTCTCTCTCTGTGATGCTGTGGCATAATTGTGATATTGTTATAATAAAAGGGAAAAAATTAAACTGTCACGGTCTTAACATCAACCAACAGTCAGCTAACTGCTGGCTAATTAGAGTCCATGCTCCGTGACTCTAACCGTTAATATATTTTCATGGTTGTATGAACAATTAACTGTCAGCTCTGAGCAAATTCTCAGATCTCCATAACACGAACATCCTTAGCAAGCGCAGTTGCCTCCTTTGCTCTAATGTTAATGTCTACCTTACTGGTTGGTTAGTCACTTTAGCTGTTTAGTCAGCAATAGTGCTGACTTAGGCAAGTGAGCTTTTTAAGAGAGTGAAATGTCAATATCTGACATTAGTCAGCTCTTGGCTGTATAGACCATTTTATGAGCAGCCTTTTTGACATGAAATGATCATTAAAACCACCTGTAGGTAATAATGTGTCAAAGGTACAGGGTCTTAATTAATAAAACTGTAACACCTGTGTCAGCTTCAAACCAGAATGGATGCTGTGTGATCTGATTTGTTCAAATTATTAATAAAGTGAGAGTTCTTGTTTGTGGTGTGAACTGTGCAGGTGAAATGCATAATACATTGTACAGCTTAGAGCACACAAAATTTTTCCAGCCTTTTAGAGAGAGACAGAGAAGAGGACACTAACATGCTGTCTTCTCTTTTAGACGGAGAGAGGTTCCAGCGCATGTTTGGTGAGTACCTGATATTAAAATCTAAAGTGAAATTGACAGAAGAGTTGAGCACTCTGAGTATGGATGAAAAAATCGTTGACTTTTTAAGTTGATCATTTGGGTATAAAAATTAACTCTGTGTGTGAGCGCTTCCAGCCCAAGGGCACATAAGGTCCCCTAGCATGCACAGCAATTCTGAAACCAAGCGGATTTACTTTTGAGAGAGAACCAGCTGCTTTGTCAAACTTGTACAATATCATAGCATATTAACCTGATTTGTAATATGTACTAAACCGAGCACCGCGCAGTCTTTACCTTGAAATAAGAGATGCAGAGAGCAGTTACTAGCCCATCATGTTTAATAGCATATGAGCTTGAGTTTAGGCTTAAAAAATGTCAACCTAGTCACATAGATGAACACAGCTAAATGTAGTAATTATTGTAAATCTCGTATGGTATAATTCTGCAAAAGGTAACGATTTTTCTTTTTTGTGGTCCTTGGTCTGCAGAAGAGTACCAGTTTCCAGGTTCCAGTTTCCAGGTTCCAGTAGATCGTCCTGTTTGTCCCTCCCCTAACCCCCAACCCCTCTATCATCCGTCCTGCTCTGTCTGTTGTCTCTGCCTTCTTTCTCTCTCCCTAAGTTTCATCTCTCAGGTTGGTTGATACTCCCAACCTATTACAGACGCTTGGTTGATACTCCCAAGCACCCCTTGAACACGTCTGGTTGATACTCCCAGGCACCCCTTGAACACGTCTGGTTGATACTCCCAGGCACCCCTTGAACACGTCTGGTTGATATTCCCAGGCACCACTCACACACACTTGGTTGATACTCCCAAGCACCTTTGAAAGAAATCTCTGGGTTTGTTCTCCCAATTATCTTTGTCAAAGCTTACTTGGTTGATATTCCTAAGTAGCTTTTACAAAGCTAAATTGGTTGATACTCCCAAGTGTCTTTGATAAAACTGACTTTGTTGATACACTGAGGCATTTTTCAAGAAAACTTAATTGGTAGATACAGACAGACAGCATTTGAAAAACTCAATTGGTTGTTACTCCCAAGTATCTGCTGCCACCACAACTACCACTACCACTACTACTACTACTACTACTACTACTACAACTACAACTACAACTACTGCTACCACTACTACTACCAACAGACTACGACTGATTGTTTCCAGGAACAATGCCACGCAAAGGAAAGAGATCCCAAGCCAAAAAGCTACACTGGCAGAAATTTCCTGAGTCCCGAGTACCTGATCAACGGGTGGTGAGTCCTCATCCTTACAACAGCGGACAGGTAAATACCCCTGATTTTTCTAATGCTAATGTCACACGTGTGTTGGCTTCCCGCAGTCAGGGGCATGATACATATGCTGATTCAAAGAACAGTCAATGCTCCTGCAACTGTGCTACTTTCCTGGCCTTTCTGCATGAGTTAGGACAACTCCACACTGCTGATCTTGATCTGGTTTTGGACAGAGGCCATGCAATGTATGCTCTAACTCTCGGTCAGTTGGATGTTGATGGTCAAAAAGTTGATAGATTCTTAAATATAGACGAACTTCCACCAATCGTTGTTGGTGACAGACAACAGCACATAATGACAAAGTGTCAGTCAATCAGTGGTGTCTTTACAGCTCCTACCTTGCTAAACAACAACCTTGCAGATGTACTTCAGTGCTTGTCCGCAGAGGTGAACTACGCATTGTTGATAATGAGTTCAATGTACATTGCTGTTTTCCGAGACCAACGCGGGCAGTATGGCTATTTTGACCCACACTCTCGACAGCCTGATGGCTTTCCTGCTGGCTTTGGTTTTGGCACAGCTGTCGTCTTTATTTTCACATATTTAAATGATCTGATCACAAAGCTTGTGACGTTATTCCATGCAGTTGGCTCCGGTCCAAATTCTTATTTTGAGCTGACACCTGTGCTCTTTGACACTGTGGATGAGCCCTCAGTGGAAGGAAATTTGCCACATATGGAGTCGAATGCAGATGATGTTCCAATAGCGAGGCAGCAAGAACCTCACATGTCCAGTCTACCCCAGGCGAAATCTGAGATTAAAATACAATTTAACAGTCACACTCTGCCAAGAGAGTCAAAACGTAATAAACAGGAAAGGAAGAAGTTGAAAAGAAGAGCTCAAAACGGGAAGACAAAAGTTGCAATCGACAAAAATGAAAAACAGCGAGAACGATATGCCAAGGACAAATCATACCAGCAACGTAAAAGGTCTTATATGGTTAATCAGTATAGACAGGATCCAGAGTTTAAACAGAGACAAAGGTCTTACATCAAACGTCGCTACAAAAATGACACAGAGTTTAAACGGAGACAAATGATGTACATAATACACCGCTATAGCCAGGACTTTGCATTCAGAACTAAACAAAGGCGGTATATCACAAAGCGTTACGCAAATGATCCTGCATTCAGAATGAGCCACAAACAAACTATGAGACAGCTTATGAGAGACAAATACAGAAACAACCTTGTAACCAGACTGACCAACAGCATGCGTTGTGCAATTAAGATTAGACAAAAATACAGACATTTAAACAGAAAGCAAATCGACATGGATGACAGTCAGATTAAAGAAGCCATAGAGATTTTCAGATCACACGTAAAAGATGGACCCACGTATGTCTGCACAGTTTGTCACAGAGCACTATTTCAGAATCAAGTGCGACCCTGCAATCGGTCAAAATATGACAAAGAGCCACATGTTGTTGCAGCTTGCCTCACTGGTGCATATGTTCATGTCTGCAGTGATGAATGCGAAAATTTACAACAGTGCACCGTACCAGAGGAGCGAAAGAGAGAGTGGATTTGTTACACATGCCATGATCACCTTAAGGTTGGTGGGATGCCTCCCCTCGCAACGGCTAATAATTTACAGCTTGCTGATATTCCAGATGAACTGTGTGATTTGAACATTTTGGAACGTCATCTCGTAGCTAAAAGCATACCGTTTGCTAAAATTATTCCACTGCCCAAAGGTCAACAAAGAGCTATCCGTGGAAATGTTGTGTGTGTTCCATCTGAAGTACAGGAAACTGTAAATGCTTTGCCCAGACTAAAGGAGTGAATCTCAGGTCATGAGAGTGAAGCTGAAGAGACGACTGTGCTACAAAGGTCATCAGCTGTTCCAAACTGTGACCTGGCCAAAGCTGGTGAGAGCTCTGCTCAAACTGAAAGAAATCCATCCCCAGTATAAAGACATAACAATCAGAGATGAAGCTGAGTCATGTGACCCTACTCTCCCTGATAATGAAGACAGCGACAGTGATGAGGATGACGGAATGGATGATGATGATTACGATGAGGAAGATTTGATGGAGATTGACCGTATTGAGAAAAATGCACTCTGTGAGGCAGAAAGCATTCCCGAAAACGACGAACAACATATGGAAAATCAGTCAGGTAATAATGGCTGTGAGCCAGAGAAACAGTCTGATAACTTGGAGGGTGATGAACCAAACGGTGGTGTTGTCCTTGAATCATGTCTGCAGCCAAGTGATGTGTCAGAGGAGATTTTGAGTTTTAGTGAGGGAATATACTCTGTTGCCCCCGCTGAAGGAAAAAAACCGTCAAGCTTTTTCAGAACACCTAAACTTGAGGCGATGGCTTTCCCAGTTCAGTTTCCCACTGGTGAAAATACACTGGATGATAACAGGCCACTGAAATTAACACCCTGCAGTTATTTCAAAACGAGGCTTTGCTGTGTCGATGGCCGTTTCGCAAAAGATACTAACTACTTGTTTTTTGCTCAATTTGTGACAGAAATACATATGGCCACTTCCAGCATGAGAATACAATTGCGTAAAGGCAAACCTTTGACTCGAGATGGCCGCAAAATCACAAATGCCATGTTGCAAAACAAACGAGAAGTCGAAAAGCTAGTGCGGAACAAAGATGCAATAAGATTCATGACACCGCTGAGAGGCACCCCGGCGTATTGGCAGAAAACAACCAAAGACTTGTTTGCGATGATTCGGGCTTTAGGCTCGCCACAATTCTTCTTAACTTTCAGTGCTGCAGAAATGCGTTGGAAATGGGTTATCACAGCAATTAAAGCCCAGCAAGGTGAACATGTGAATTTTGAAGAGTTGGATTGGTCATCAAAGTGTGAGATTTTGCGAAGTAATCCTGTCACCACAATGCGCATGTTTGACAAACGTGTCGAGGCTCTGTTCAGAGATCTGATCCTGTCCCCCGCACAGCCCATCGGCAAAGTCGTCGACTACTTTTACCGGCTCGAGTTTCAGCACAGAGGAAGCCCACACATTCATGGTATGGTATGGGTGGCAGGCGCACCTGTGTTTGAAGAATGCTCTGATGAGGAAGTGTGTAAGTTTGTGGCCAGATTCATCAAAGCTGAGCTGCCCGATGAAAACGAGGACCCAGAACTGTACAAAATAGTCACAGAAGTTCAGATGCACAGCAAGAACCACTCCAAGACGTGTGTGAAATACAGTGGTGCAAACTGTCGTTTCGGATTTCCCAAACAACCTGTCCCAAAAACCACAATAATCAGACCGGGGGCAATTGTGGATGAAGCAACAGACCTGGCATTGACAGAAAAGCTTGCAACACTGAACAGACTGCTTCATGAGCCTACGACTGCAACGCTCAGCTTTGAACAGCTTTTGGCAAAATGTGAGTTCACCAACGAAGAATACCACAGGTGTTTGCAGAGCAAAACCAACGGCAGTCAAGTGATGCTGAAGCGTGGTCCCAAAGATGTTTGGGTAAATGGCTACAACCCCTACCTTCTGAAAGCCTGGAATGCCAACATGGATATCCAATTCATTCTCAACCCATACTCCTGTATCATGTACATGTGCAGCTACATCAGCAAGGCGGAACATGGTCTGAGTGAATATCTCAAAACGGTGATACAAAACTCACGTCAGGAAGATGTCAACGAAAGTGATGAAATGAAACAAATAATGCAGGCCTACTCCAAAAAAAGAGAGGTAAGCGCTCAGGAGTGTGTGGCTCGTGCATGCAGTCTACACATGAAGCAGTGTTCACGCAGCGTGGTGTTTGTGCAGACGGATGACAACGCACTGAAAATGAGTTACCCCTTGTCACACCTGGACAACAAACCTTCAGAATCGGAACATGTGTGGATGACAGGGTTACCTGATAAGTATGTATGCAGACCAGAAACACCAGACTTCGAGGCAATGTGCTTGGCGGATTTTGCATCGAGCTGCAGAATAGTCTACGGCAAGCAGACAAAAGGCAAAAACACTCATCGCCTGCTGAATGAGATGGGGTTTGTCCAGAAGAGAGCAAATGATGAAAAACATGCTGTCATCAAATATCGACCCATTTCCCTTGAGAAAGATCCAGAGCTGTATTACGGCACATTGCTTAAACTGTACGTGCCTTATCGCTCAGAAAACCAGCTGAAATCCACCCACTTCCCAACTTACCAGTCCGTCCATGACCATGCATCTGTTTGGTTACCTGGATCACAGCATCCCGAGCGCGTGAAGGCAATTGTGAAACGCAACAGAGAAAAACATGAGAAACACCGTGAGGACATCGACAGTGCCATTCAAGAGTTTGAAGAAAGAGGAATGTTGCTAAATGAATGGGGCAACCTGGCGCCTGAGAGTGAGCTCGAACGGCTCGAGTGCATAGATGAACTCAATGAAAGAGAAGCTGATGAGGACGTGCAGGAGAATGTTCCAGACTATAATGTGAGGTCAGACGTGAGGCAAGAATCTGCAGTCACGATCGAAGCCCCTGAAATTGATCCTGTGGTGCTGCGTGAGATGTACCAGAACTTGAACCAAACGCAAGCTTCAGTTTTCCACACCATCCGGGAATGGTGCTTGAAATGTGTTTGTGGTTCAAAACCAGAGCAGTTCTTCTTGTACATTAATGGTGGTGCCGGAACAGGTAAGTCTCATCTAATCAAATGCATCCATGCAGAGGCATCTAAAATACTCAGAAGACTTCCGAGAAATGCAGAGGAAGCAGACATCTCTAAACCTACTGTTCTCTTGACTGCATTCACTGGTACTGCAGCATTCAACATTTCAGGTACAACATTGCATTGTCTCTTGAAGCTGCCCAGAAGTCTCAAGCCTCCTTTCCAAGGTCTTGGTAACAAACTTGATGAAGTCAGGGCAGAGCTTTCAAATGCAGAGATACTCATTATTGATGAAGTCTCCATGGTCTCCAAACAGCTCTTTGCCTACGTGGATGCGAGACTGAAACAAATCAAAGGAAGTCAGAGACCTTTTGGTGGAATGTCAGTTCTCACTGTTGGAGATTTCTACCAGCTACCACCTGTCAGACAGTCGAAACCTCTGTGTGTGTTCGACCCGACTCAGATCGACCTCTGGCGTGACAACTTTCAGATGGTCACACTGACCGAAATCATGCGTCAGAAAGATGATGTCACTTTTGCTGAGACGCTGAATCGAATCCGTGCCAAAGAAAAGACAGTGTCTTTGTCTCATGAAGACAGAGTTCTGCTTTCACGGGCCTTAGCTGACCCAGCTCAATGTCCAAAAGACGTACTGCATGTTTATGCGACAAACAAACAGGTTGAGGAACACAACTCAAAAACCTTGGACATGTTTCACTCCGACGTCACCACAATAGATGCAGATGACTACAAAAAAGATCCAACCACTGGGAGAATGACGAGACAAAGTGTACCTTTCCAAGGAAACAAAAAGGAGTTGCCTGACTCGATAAAAGTGGCCATCGGCGCTAATGTCATGATCACCAGAAATATCAGTGTGCGGTCAGGTCTCTGCAATGGAACATTTGCACGCATTGCAAAAATTGTGACTAAAGCAGGAAATCCGCATGTTGAAAAACTCGGACTGAAACTTAACAGTCAAAGTGCAGCAGCCAGCGAAGCAGATGTGGATGAAAACATCGTGTACATTGACAGAGACGAGGAGAATCTGAAACAGACGGGAGTTGTCAGAAGACAGTTTCCCATCAAGCTCGCTTTTGCGTGTACAATACACAAAGTTCAAGGGATGACAACGTCCTCAGCCGTGGTCTCACTGAAACACATCTTTGAACCCGGCATGGCCTACGTTGCTCTGAGCAGAGTGACCTCTCTGAGTGGACTCCACATTCTAGACATGGATGAGAGGAAAATCTATTGCAACCCTGAAATCACTGTAGCTCTTGAAAACATGTCTAAAGCTTCACTTGAACATGTCATGCCTCTCCTCAAGATCCCAGAAACATTGAACAGGCCAGACACTCTCACTGTCATTCATCACAACACAGAAGGACTACCAGCTCATATCACCGACATCAAAAGTCACCATGAACTACATCTTGCAGATGTGCTCTGTCTCACTGAAACTCATCTGCGAGGATCCTTTGTTGCTGAGAGTCTCCACCTTGAAGGCTACAACATGTTCAAACGTAACAGAAACGTGTCTTATTCAAACCATCCTGCCATGGCCACTAAAAACGGTGGCGGAGTTGCCATCTATGTGAAAGAACACATCAGAGTCCTTGAGAGACATTTCATTCAAAATGCCACTGATATTGAGTTCAGTGTCATCAAACTCGAAGCTCCTTTCAGGGCTCTAATTGCTGCCGTCTACAGGCCTCCTGACTACGATGTTCACTCATTCATATCCAACCTCAGAAGTCTCTTGGATTCACTGGAAGTCATGGATCATCATCCCATCTTAGTCTGTGGAGATTTTAATGAAGATTTGCTGTCCAGAGCAAGGAAGCCCATTCTTGAACTGTTTCAGTCCAAAGGTTATGAACAACTCATAACTGCTGCAACCACAGAGAAGAACACGCTGCTTGACCCCATTTTCATCTCTTGCCCGCAGTCCTGTATCCATTCTGGCATGCTGCGGACATACTACAGTTACCACCACCCTGTCTACTGCGTGCTCACTTTAGAAACACCCTAAAAAGAACTGGCTGGTTAAAAATCGAGAACTTGGTGCAAAGTTAAGGGAAAAAAAATTTATTGCGTCAATAACTGTCGGTTTACACGTTGCGATTTAAGAGAAGAGTTTTAATTATTGGTTTCCTATTCGATCACCTAACGAAACGTTGTAAACATAGTATATTTTAAGATGGGGGGGTCGACCTCAGCAGCCAGGCTGTAACACCTGCTCTGGCTGCTCTAGCTTTTAAAAGGCTGGGAGGGAGGGATGGTCAGACGGCCCTCCTATACCAAAGAAAAACATACCTGCAAATACTTTCTAGTCACTGTACAATGTGAGATTAAAGACAATATATAAAACTTTAATACATTTCTGAAAAATACAGTGAAGTCAAATGATGCAAAGGTCAGTACATTATTAGTAGCATTTAAAAAAAAAAATCAAAATATACAGTGAGACAAATTAAAAACAAGCTAATTTAAAAGAAATAAAAACTGCCACTGAAACTATTATGAACTAATGAAATATTATAAACAAATTATATTTTAAGATGAGGGGGTCCTTAGCAGCCAGGTTGTAACACCTGCTCTGGCTGCTATAGCTTTTAAAAGGCTGGGAGGGAGGGATGGACCGACGACCCCCTCCTATACCAAATTATATAGAAATACATTTCAAAATATACAGTGAGACAAATTAAAAACAAGCTAATTTAAAAGAATAATAATAATAATAATAAATAAAAACTGCCACTGAAACTATTATGAACTAATGAAATATTATAAACAAATAAAGATATGAATAACATATAGTGGGAATGCTCTGCAATCCCACTCAATTATATTTTAAGATGAGGGGGTCGTCCTTAGCAGTCAGGTTGTAACACCTGCTCTGGCTGCTATAGCTTTTAAAAGGCTGGGAGGGAGGGATGGACCGACGACCCCCTCCTATACCAAATTATATAGAAATACATTTCTGCAAGTCGTTACTTTACGCTGTATTAGAGTTGCCCATTATGTCCTGCCATTTACTTTGAGTAGTGGCAGGAAGGTCTGAGGATGCATTACTGCTCCTCATTTCTCTTGAATGACTTGGTGTGGGCGTAAGGTAAGAACAATATTGATCTGTCATATATACTAGCTGCAGGACTGCTCCATTTTAAATGTGAAAATACACATTGTTTTACTGGATTTGTTTGTCTGAATCTCTCTGTTCATTTGTTTGGGTTTAGGCACCTGTGCCCTTTAGACACCAAAGATGTGGGGTGATGACACTAGAACTCCAGCTCTATGCTCAGTGTGTCCCAAGGGCCTACCTTGGAGAGGGGAAGACACATTTCATCCTAAGAGAGCATCAGGTCAGCCTATGATTTTGATATCAAGACATTTGCACTCTGAGTTTGTTGCCTTTTACTGTTTGTGTTTGTTTCTGGTGGTCTACCAAAGGAGATAAGGATGAGCCTCTCTCAAAAGAACATCCATTGGTGAACCCTCTGTCTGACACTTGGTTGTATTCACACCTTCCTGGGTTGAGAAGTTCGTCACCAAGTCTTTCACAGCTGTGTAAATTTACGGGTAGGAGCTGCAGGTGCCACAGTGAGAAGAAACAATTCTACCTGTAAATTCCCTGAACATGTGCATGGTGAGTGACAGTACAGTTTATTCCTTTTAATCTAAGGCTGCCAATAATTTCTCAATGATGCTCCATGGCATTTTGAAGAAGTTCTTTTTGTCTGGTAGAGTGTCACAGTGGCAGCCCCACACTGGCAGAGCAGCGCCTGAGCAACAGTTCCAGAGTACTGCAGCTAGACAGCTCTGTCTATCAACTTGAGGAGGACCCACACACATTGTAAGTTAACTTAAATGTTGCAGTGTCTGTTTTCTGGTGTATTTAAATCAATCTGTAAAATTTCATCTGGTTTCACATTTTTTTCTCTCCTGTTCAGTGCTTCAGAGAGAGGTGAAGTTGGATGTGCTGTGCATGCGTCACCATCCTGACAAGGGGTGCCGCCATTGATCTTGAACAGGACTCAAGCATGTTGTGAGTCAACTGAACAGTTTATTGATCATGAAGAGTTTTGTGACATTTGCTAGAAAAGTTTAAAGGTATTGATAATAAACATAAAGTTTTGTCTGCCAGTGCTGTACAGGAAACCAAACCCTCTCCGTGTGTGACCGATTAGCGGAGAAAATTTCTGATCCAGGATTGGACAAGTTGTTGCTCACACAATGCTGGACCTCTAACGGGTATGTACTTGTCTTCAGCAGTCATATTATTTCTTTGTGTTCATCTGATGTGACAACCTTCTCTCCTCTCTGTACATCACAGAAGTCGACATGAGCTGAAGAACTAGAAAAGTCCTGCAGATCTTGTGACTGTGGCTTCTTAGAACCAAGCACCGAGTCTACAGCAGAGAAGGGTTCTGACCTGGGGAGCACCAGCTCTGAACTTCACCAAGTATGTTTCATCTTCAAAATCTTTGACTTTTCCACACTACAACCAGCTGTGTAGGATTTCAGTTTGTCGTCTGTAACACCGGTGTAAACTGTTGTCTTTTCCTCTCAACTCATCACAGAACCAGCTCGACATGAGCCACAGAGCCAAACCCAGCAACCATGTGACCCTGAAGCCATGTGATCTCTGCTGAGCTTAGAACTCTAAAATACTGCATGCTCAGCCGTCCTGGTAGGGGATCCCTCTAAGACCTGGCCTACCCAAAGGTTTCTTCCTCTTATCCTGAGAAAGCTTTTTTGGGGGAGTTTTTCCTGACATGCTTGGAGGGTCGAAAGGCTGACGGTGCCATATACCCCAGATTTTTTTTCTGATTCAATGTCAATAAAGAAAGTAAATGAAATTCTGGAGTTTTAATTTACTTATATGAAAGAATGAATGAATGAATGACACATGCTCACAATCACAATAATTTAAATGTGTGAAATATGAAAGTTTGAATCTCTTTAAATGAATAGAAAATTGTATGAAGGAGCAGTATGAGGCATGAATGGTCAGAAGGATTAAAATGGGGGAAATTAAAAGCTGAAGCCACTGCCAGATGGAAATTTAGTAGGTTTAGATAACAAGGCAAGTATGAATGTGATGAAACAGTTGATGTCAGAATTTCTGTTGAATAAGAAATAAATAGTAAGAATTATTTGACAATTTGAGGGTTCAAAACAATACTAAGAAATTTTAATCAGCCCACGGTGCCGCACTGTTGTCCAGCTCTAAAAATACAAGCTGTCATGTTTAGGAACAAGTCACAAAAACTTCACAGAGCAGGAAAAGGGTGAGAAGCAACTTCCCAGTCAGCTTTGTTTCTCCAGGTGCACTAATTGGTTGCCATGCTGAAGGTAAATACATCATTACAGCAGAAGAAAGAAGGACAAGTTCAAATGAGTTATAATTTGTTTGAAAGAACTGAATAATGCATTAAGAGTAAAAAATATTTAAAACTGGAAAATTAAAGGGTTACAAATCTGGAAGAAAAAGAAGTTTGAAGAATCAAAACGGTTTAAATCAGTTTGAAGGAGTTTAAATTAGTTTGAAGAGTTAAATAATGCTTTTTCAATGAATGATTGAAAAATGGGGACAATGTAAATGAATAAAAATCCTGATTAGACCCTATAATGTCCTCAATGAGCTGAATTTATTAAGCCCTGGATGGTTTCTATAGCTCAAGGTTTGTGCGAAGAGATAGATGACAAATTTCGTCAAATAACTCTATTGAAGGGTTTTAAATGTCACTCCCAGTACTCTGTGTACTGAGCCTGGCTTCATGTGTCTCATATGGCTGTTAGAAGCAGCTTTCCAGCCAGCTGTGTGTCTCCAGGTGCTCCCTTTGGTTGCCATGGTGACGATAGATGCTTAACAACAGCAGGAGAAAGGAGGCTTGAGGCTGAGAATGTAATGCCCAAACAACGTCATATTTCTCATCCTCTGTAACTGCTATCTTCATGATCAGGAGCTTGTGAGTACCACAAGGCCCGGCTGAACACGTTGATACAACTTCTGTGTTTGTGGAGCCAAAAATGCTTTCGCTACGACAAGTTAAAAACATGTCCAGTTTGTGTTTCCTCTGAAAATCCTCCTCTCAAGTTTACATTGGAGTCAATGGAGAAAGCTGGAGAAATCTGGGGGATGTCTGCGGCAGTTGGTGTCTGCCCAGGCCACTGTGTGTGTCCTATGGCTTTGATTTTTTAGATGAAGAGTGACAGCTAGTTTTGCGATCACTGTACCAAATTTTATCAGTCTAGAGCGAAGTGAGTTGCCACAATCCTTTTGTAAAGACAAAGTTTTGAGGATCGATTTTCAGCCTGTCTCACTCTAGCTGTGAGGTCACCCACTCTAGCGGCCAACATTCCGTGCAATACACACTAATGTTAAAACCTGAACAGGTCTGAAAATCTTTGGACTATTTGAACTGTCACTGTGAGAAAAGTATGAATGCCATGAAGATGGTGAATGAATGAGTGAATGTCTGAAGATGTGTGAATATTTTAAAGTTTGAATGAAGTTTCTAGGTGAAAGTATGAATGAATGAGAAGAGGTTGAAGTTGACTACGTCTGAAGCCCTTTTCCCATTGACTGCCATTATAACGAAGTTTTAAACTAATCTTAATATTTTGAAAAGTACAAATGGGATTAAAAATGTTGAAGATGTGGAATAATGATGACGAATTTGTGAATATTTTGGTTTTTGAATGAAGTTTCTACGTGGAAGTATAGAGGAGTTGAAGGCTTTTGAAGTTTGAAGCCAATTTGAACATTCCGTAATGCATTTCTAATGGGAGAAATCGGTCGGAAAACCTGGAATATCTCGGAAAGTATGAATGTTTGGAAATTTTTGAATACAAGCCGGAATCTCCGGAATGAGACGAATCTTTTGAAGTTTGAATGGTTTGAATACGTTGAAGTATGTGGAAGAAGTTGACTGCCAAAAAACGGCGGAATAATAATAATAATAATAACTAGAAAATGCAATTTCTGAAGAAATTGCGAGTGGGATTGCTTCAGTTGAAATTGCTATCGCTATGCTGCTATTGCGAATGGCTGAATTTTAAAAATATGTGAAAGGTCAAAAGGTATGACGTATCAGGAAGATTTGAATCAATTGGAATAAACTCAATTGAATGAATTGAATAATGCATGAATAATAATTTTGAAATTTCCACGTTTGAAAATTAAAATGATTAAAAACCCTGAAGTTTGGGAAAGGCTTGAAGAATCAATAAGGTTTTAATCAGTTTAAATGAGCTGTAATTTGTTTGAAAGAACTGAATAATGCAGTAAGAGTAAAATATGATTTAAAACTGGAAAATTAAAAGGTTACAAATCTGGAAGAAAAAGAGGTTTGAAGAATCAAAACGGTTTACATCAGTTTGAAGGAAATAAATTAGTTTGAAGAACTAAATCATGCATTTTCAATGAATGATTGAAAAATGGGGACAATGTAAATGAATAAAAATCCTGATTAGACCCCATAATGTCCTCAATGAGCTGAATTTATTAAGCCCTGGATGGTTTCTGTAGCTCAAGGTTTGTGCGAAGAGATAGGTTTTAAATGTCACCCCCAGTACTCTGTGTACTGAGCCTGGCTTCATGTGTCTCATGTGGCGGTTAGAAGCAGCTTTCCAGCCAGCTGTGTGTCTCCAGGTGCTCCCTTTGGTTGCCATGGTGACAGCAGATGCTTAACAACAGCATGAGAAAGGAGGCTTGAGGCTGAGAACGTAATGCCCAAACAACGTCATATTCCTCATCCTCTGTAACTGCTATCTCCATGATAAGGAGCTTGTGAGAACCACAAGGCCCGGCTGAACACGTTGATACAACTTCTGTGTCTGTGGAGCCAAAAATGCCTTCACTACGACAAGTTAAAAACATGTCCAGTTTGTGTTTCCTCTGAAAATCCTCCTCTCAGGTTTACATTGGAGTCAATGGAGAAAGCTGGAGAAATCTGGGGGATGTCTGCGGCAGTTGGTGTCTGCCCAGGCCACTGTGTGTGTCCTATGGCTTTGATTTTTTAGATGAAGAGTGACAGCGAGTTTTGCCATCACTGTACCAAATTTTATCTGTGTAGAGCGAAGTGAGTTGCCACAATCCTTTTGTAAAGACAAAGTTTTGAGGATCAATTTTCAGCCTGTCTCACTCTAGCTGTGAGGTCACCCACTCTAGTGGCCAACATTCCGTGCAATACACACTAATGTTAAAACCTGAACAGGCCAGAAAATCATGTGAATTTTTGAACTGTCACTGTGAGAAAAGTATGAATGCCATGAAGATGGTGAATGAATGAGTGAATGTCTGAAGATGTGTGAATATTTTAAAGTTTGAATGAAGTTTCTAGGTGAAAGCATGAATGAATGAGAAGAGGTTGAAGTTGACTACATCTGAAAGCCTTTTCCCATTGAATCCCATTATAACGAAGTTTTAAACAAATCTTAATATTTTGAAAAGTACAAATGGGATTAAAAATGTTGAAGATGTGGAATAATGCTGACGAATTTGTGAATATTTTGGTTTTTGAATGAAGTTTCTACGTGGAAGTATAAAGGAGTTGAAGGCTTTTGAAGTTGTGTGAAGAAAATGTGAGAAAAGGGCCAATTTGAACATTCCGTAATGCATTCCTAATGGGAGAAATCGGTCGGAAAACCTGGAATATCTCGGAAGGTATGAATGTTAGGAAAATTTTGAATACAAGCCGGAATCTCCTCAATGAGATGAATCTTTTGAAGTTTGAATGGTTTGAATACGTTGAAGTATGTGGAAGTAGTTGACTGCCAAAAAACGGCGGAATAATAATAATAACTAGAAAATGCAATTTCTGAAGAAATTGCGAGTGGGATTGCCTCAGTTGAAATTGCTAGCGCTACGCTGCTATTGCGAATGGCTGAATTTTAAAATATGTGAAAGGTCAAAAGGTATGAAGAATCAGGAAGATTTGAATCAATTGGAATAAACTCAATTGAATGAATTGAATAATGCATGAATAACAATTTTAGAAAATTCAATGTGTGAAAATTAAAATGATTAAAAACCCTGAAGTATGGGAAAGGCTTGAAGAATCAATAAGTTTTGAATCAGTGTAAATGAGTTGGAATTTGTTTGAAAGAACTGAATAATGTATTAAGAGTAAAAAATATTTAAAACTGGAGAATTAAAAGGTTACAAATCTGGAAGAAAAAGAGGTTTGAAGAATCAAAACGGTTTAAATCAGTTTGAAGGAAATAAATTAGTTTGAAGAACTAAATAATTTATTTTCAATGAATGATTGAAAAATGGGGACAATGTAAATGAAAAAAAATCCTGATTTGACCCCATAATGTCCTCAATGAGCTGAATTTATTAAGCGCTGGATGGTTTCTGTAGCTCAAGGTTTGTGCGAAGAGATAGATGACAAAGTTCGTCAAATAACTCTATTGAAGGGTTTTAAATGTAACCCCCAGTACTCTGTGTACTGAGCCTGGCTTCATGTGTCTCATATGGCTGTTAGAAGCAGCTTTCCAGCCAGCTGTGTGTCTCCAGGTGCTCCCTTTGGTTGCCATGGTGACGATAGATGCTTAACAACAGCAGGAGAAAGGAGGCTTGAGGCTGAGAACGTAATGCCCAAACAACGTCATATTTCTCATCCTCTGTAACTGCTATCTTCATGATAATGAGCTTGTGAGAACCACAAGACCCGGCTGAACACGTTGATACAACTTCGGTGTCTGTGGAGCCAAAAATGCCTTCACTACGACAAGTTAAAAACATGTCCAGTTTGTGTTTCCTCTGAAAATCCTCCTCTCAGGTTTACATTGGAGTCAATGGAGAAAGCTGGAGAAATTTGGGGGATGTCTGTGGCAGTTGGTGTCTGCCCAGGCCACTGTGTGTGTCCTATGGCTTTGATTTTTTAGATGAAGAGTGACAGCGAGTTTTGCCATCACTGTACCAATTTTTATCTGTGTAGAGCGAAGTGAGTTGCCACAATCCTTTTGTAAAGACAAAGTTTTGAGGATTAATTTTCAGCCTGTCTCACTCTAGCTGTGAGGTCACCCACTCTAGCTGCCAACATTCCGTGCAATACACACTAATGTTAAAACCTGAACAGGTATGAAAATCTTTGGACTTTTTGAACTGTCACTGTGAGAAAAGTATGAATGCCATGAAGATGGTGAATGAATGAGTGAATGTCTGAAGATGTGTGAATATTTTAAAGTTTGAATGAAGTTTCTAGGTGAAAGTATGAATGAATGAGAAGAGGTTGAAGTTGACTACGTCTGAAGCCCTTTTCCCATTGACTGCCATTATAACGAAGTTTTAAACAAATCTTAATATTTTGAAACGTACAAATGGGATTAAAAATGTTGAAGATGTGGAATAATGCTGACGAATTTGTGAATATTTTGGTTTTTGAATGAAGTTTCTATGTGGAAGTATAGAGGAGCTGAAGGCTTTTGAAGTTTGAAGCCAATTTGAACATTCCGTAATGCATTTCTAATGGGAGAAATCGGTCGGAAAACCTGGAATATCTCGGAAAGTATGAATGTTAGGAAATTTTTGAATACAAGCCGGAATCTCCTCAACGAGATGAATCTTTTGAAGTTTGAATGGTTTGAATACGTTGAAGTATGTGGAAGTAGTTGACTGCCAAAAAACGGCGGAATAATAATAATAATAATAACTAGAAAATGCAATTTCTGAAGAAATTGCGAGTGGGATTGCTTCAGTTGAAATTGCTAGCGCTACGCTGCTATTGCGAATGGCTGAATTTTAAAATATGTGAAAGGTCAAAAGGTATGAAGAATCAGGAAGATTTGAATCAATTGGAATAAACTCAATTGAATGAATTGAATAATGCATGAATAACAGTTTTAGAAAATTCAACATCTGAAAATTAAAATGATTAAAAACCCTGAAGTATGGGAAAGGCTTGAAGAACCAATAAGTTTTGAATCAGTTTAAATGAGTTGGAATTTGTTTGAAAGAACTGAATAATGTATTAAGAGTAAAAAATATTTAAAACTGGAGAATTAAAAGGTTACAAATCTGGAAGAAAAAGAGGTTTGAAGAATCAAAACGGTTTAAATCAGTTTGAAGGAAATAAATTAGTTTGAAGAACTAAATAATGCATTTTCAATGAATGATTGAAAAATGGGGACAATGTAAATGAAAAAAAATCCTGATTAGACCCCATAATGTCCTCAATGAGCTGAATTTATTAAGCCCTGGATGGTTTCTGTAGCTCAAGGTTTGTGCGAAGAGATAGATGACAAAGTTCGTCAAATAACTCTATTGAAGGGTTTTAAATGTAACCCCCAGTACTCTGTGTACTGAGCCTGGCTTCATGTGTCTCATATGGCTGTTAGAAGCAGCTTTCCAGCCAGCTGTGTGTCTCCAGGTGCTCCCTTTGGTTGCCATGGTGACGATAGATGCTTAACAACAGCAGGAGAAAGGAGGCTTGAGGCTGAGAACGTAATGCCCAAACAACGTCATATTTCTCATCCTCTGTAACTGCTATCTTCATGATAATGAGCTTGTGAGAACCACAAGACCCGGCTGAACACGTTGATACAACTTCTGTGTCTGTGGAGCCAAAAATGCCTTCACTACGACAAGTTAAAAACATGTCCAGTTTGTGTTTCCTCTGAAAATCCTCCTCTCAGGTTTACATTGGAGTCAATGGAGAAAGCTGGAGAAATTTGGGGGATGTTTGTGGCAGTTGGTGTCTGCCCAGGCCACTGTGTGTGTCCTATGGCTTTGATTTTTTAGATGAAGAGTGACAGCGAGTTTTGCCATCACTGTACCAATTTTTATCTGTGTAGAGCGAAGTGAGTTGCCACAATCCTTTTGTAAAGACAAAGTTTTGAGGATTAATTTTCAGCCTGTCTCACTCTAGCTGTGAGGTCACCCACTCTAGCTGCCAACATTCCGTGCAATACACACTAATGTTAAAACCTGAACCGGTCAGAAAATCATTGGACTTTTTGAACTGTCACTGTGAGAAAAGTATGAATGCCATGAAGATGGTGAATGAATGAGTGAATGTCTGAAGATGTGTGAATATTTTAAAGTTTGAATGAAGTTTCTAGGTGAAAGTATGAATGAATAAGAAGAGGTTGAAGTTGACTACGTCTGAAGCCCTTTTCCCATTGACTTCCATTATAACGAAGTTTTAAACAAATCTTAATATTTTGAAAAGTACAAATGGGATTAAAAATGTTGAAGATGTGGAATAATGCTGACGAATTTGTGAATATTTTGGTTTTTGAATGAAGTTTCTACGTGGAAGTATAGAGGAGTTGAAGGCTTTTGAAGTTTGAAGCCAATTTGAACATTCCGTAATGCGTTTCTAATGGGAGAAATCGGTCGGAAAACCTGGAATATCTCGGAAAGTATGAATGTTTGGAAATTTTTGAATACAAGCCGGAATCTCCGGAATGAGACGAATCTTTTGAAGTTTGAATGGTTTGAATACGTTGAAGTATGTGGAAGTAGTTGACTGCCAAAAAACGGCGGAATAATAATAATAATAATAATAATAATAATAATAAAGATATGAATAACATATAGTGGGAATGCTCTGCAATCCCACTCAATAATAATAATAATAATAATAAAGATATGAATAACATATAGTGGGAATGCTCTGCAATCCCACTCAATAATAAAGATATGAATAACATATAGTGGGAATGCTTCGCAATCCCACTCAATAATAAAGATATGAATAACATATAGTGGGAATGCTCTGCAATCCCACTCAATAATAATAAAGATATGAATAACATATAGTGGGAATGCTCTGCAATCCCACTCAATAATAACTAGAAAATGCAATTTCTGAAGAAATTGCGAGTGGGATTGCTTCAGTTGAAATTGCTATCGCTACGCTGCTATTGCGAATGGCTGATTTTTAAAAATATGAGAAAGGTCAAAAGGTATGAAGTATCAGGAAGATTTGAATCAATTTGAATAAACTCAATTGAATGAGTTGAATAATGCATGAATAACAATTTTAAAAATTCACAATGAAAATTAAAATGATTGAAAACCCTGAAGCATGGGAAAGGCTTGAAGAATCAATAAGGTTTGAATCAGTTCAAATGAGTTGGAATTTGTTGGAAAGAACTGAAAAATGCATAAAGAGTAAAAAATGATTTAAAACTGGAAAATAAAAAGGTTACAAATCTGGAAGAAAAAGAATTTTGAAGAATCAAAACAGTTTAAATCAGTTTGAAGGAGTTTAAATTAGTTTGACGAGTTAAATAATGCATTTTCAATGAATGATTGAAAAATGGGGACAATGTAAATGAATAAAAATCCTGATTGGACCCCATAATGTCCTCAATGAGCTGAATTTATTAAGCCCTGGATGGTTTCTGTAGCTCAAGGTTTGTGCAAAAAGATAGATGACAAAGTTCGTCAAATAACTCTATTGAAGGGTTTTAATGTCACCCCCAGTACTCTGTGTACTGAGCCTGGCTTCATGTGTCTCATATGGCTGTTAGAAGCAGCTTTCCAGCCAGCTGTGTGTCTCCAGGTGCTCTTATTGGTTGCCATGGTGATGATAGATGCTTAACGACAGCAGGAGAAAGGAGGCTTGAGGCCGAGAACGTAATGCCCAAACAACGACATATTTCTCATCCTCTGTAACTGCTATCTCCATGATAAGGAGCTTGTGAGAACCACAAGACTTGGCTGAACACGTTGATACAACTTCTGTGTCTGTGGAGCCAAAAATGCCTTCGCTACGACAAGTTAAAAACATGTCCAGTTTGTGTTTCCTCTGAAAATCCTCCTCTCAGGTTTACATTGGAGTCAATGGAGAAAGCTGGAGAAATCTGGGGGATGTCTGCGGCAGTTGGTGTCTGCCCAGGCCAATGTGTGTGTCCTATGGCCTTGATTTTTTAGATGAAGAGTGACAGCGAGTTTTGCCATCACTGTACCAAATTTTATCTGTGTAGAGCGAAGTGAGTTGCCACAATCCTTTTGTAAAGACAAAGTTTTGAGGATCAATTTTCTGCCTGTCTCACTCTAGCTGTGAGGTCACCCACTCTAGCTGCCAACATTCCGTGCAATACACACTAATGTTAAAACCTGAACCGGTCAGAAAATCTTTGGACTTTTTGAACTGTCAATGTGAGAAAAGTATGAATGCCATGAAGATGGTGAATGAATGAGTGAATGTCTGAAGATGTGTGAATATTTTAAAGTTTGAATGAAGTTTCTAGGTGAAAGTATGAATGAATGAGAAGAGGTTGAAGTTGAGTACGTCTGAAGCCCTTTTCCCATTGAATCCCATTATAACGAAGTTTTAAACAAATCTTAATATTTTGAAAAGTACAAATGGGATTAAAAATGTTGAAGATGTGGAATAATGCTGACGAATTTGTGAATATTTTGGTTTTTGAATGAAGTTTCTACGTGGAAGTATAGAGGAGTTGAAGGCTTTTGAAGTTGTGTGAAGAAAATGTGAGAAAAGGGCCAATTTGAACATTCCGTAATGCATTTCTTATGGGAGAAATCGGTCGGAAAACCTGGAATATCTCGGAAAGTATGAATGTTAGGAAAATTCTGAATACACCCCTGAATCTCCTCAATGAGATGGATCTTTTGAAGTTTGAATGGTTTGAATACGTTGAAGTATGTGGAAGTAGTTGAGGTCCAAAAAACGGTGGAAGTGTGTTGAATAATAATAATAAAGATATGAATAACATATAGTGGGAATGCTTCGCAATCCCACTCAACTAGAAAATGCAATTTCTGAAGAAATTGCGAGTGGGATTGCTTCAGTTGAAATTGCTAGCGCTACGCTGCTATTGCGAATGGCTGATTTTTAAAAATATGTGAAAGATCAAAAGGTATGAAGTATCAGGAAGATTTGAATCAATTTGAATAAACTCTGTTGAATGAATTGAATAATGCATGAATAATAATTTTAAAAATTCAACATGTGAAAATTAAAATGATTAAAAACCCTGAAGTATGGGAAAGGCTTGAAGAATCAATAAGGTTTGAATCAGTTTAAATGAGTTGAAATTTGCTTGAAAGAACTGAATAATGCATTAAGAGTAAAAAATATTTAAAAGTGGAAAATTAAAAGGTTACAAATCTGGAAGAAAAAGAGGTTTGAAGAATCAAAACGGTTCAAATCAATTTGAAGAACTAAATTATGCATTTTCAATGAATGATTGAAAAATGGGGACAATGTAAATGAATAAAAATCCTGATTAGACCCCATAAGGTTTTAAATGTAACCCCCAGTACTCTGTGTACTGAGCCTTGCTTCATGTGTCTCATATGGCTGTTAGAAGCAGCTTTCCAGCCAGCTGTGTGTCTCCAGGTGCTCTTATTGGTTGCCATGGTGACAGCAGATGCATCATGACGCAAGAGAAAGGAGGCTTGAGGCCGAGAACGTAATGCCCAAACAACGTCATATTCCTCATCCTCTGTAACTGCTATCTTCATGATCAGGAGCTTGTGAGAACCACAAGGCCCGGCTGAACACGTTGATACAACTTCTGTGTTTGTGGAGCCAAAAATGCCTTCGCTACGACAAGTTAAAAACATGTCCAGTTTGTGTTTCCTCTGAAAATCCTCCCCTCAGGTTTACATTGGAGTCAATGGAGAAATCTGGGGGATGTCTGCGGCAGTTGGTGTCTGCCCAGGCCACTGTGTGTGTCCTATGGCTTTGATTTTTTAGATGAAGAGTGACAGCGAGTTTTGCCATCACTGTACCAATTTTTATCTGTGTAGAGCGAAGGGAGTTGCCACAATCCTTTTGTAAATTCAAAGTTTTGAGGATCGATTTTCAGCCCCTCTCACTCTAGCTGTGAGGTCACCCACTCTAGCTGCCAACATTCCGTGCAATACACACTAATGTTAAAACCTGAACCGGTCAGAAAATCCTGTGAATTTTTGAACTGTCACTGTGAGAAAAGTATGAATGCCATGAAGATGATGAATGAATGAGTGAATGTCTGAAGATGTGTGAATATTTTAAAGTTTGAATGAAGTTTCTAGGTGAAAGTGTGAATGAATGAGAAGAGGTTGAAGTTGACTACGTCTGAAGCCCTTTTCCCATTGAATCCCATTATAACGAAGTTTTGAACTAATCTTAATATTTTAAAAAGTACAAATGGGATTAAAAATGTTGAAGATGTGGAATAATGCTGACGAATTTGTGAATATTTTGGTTTTTGAATGAAGTTTCTACGTGGAAGTATAGAGGAGCTGAAGGCTTTTGAAGTTTGAAGCCAATTTGAACATTCCGTAATGCATTTCTAATGGGAGAAATCGGTCGGAAAACCTGGAATATCTCGGAAAGTATGAATGTTAGGAAATTTTTGAATACAAGCCGGAATCTCCTCAACGAGATGAATCTTTTGAAGTTTGAATGGTTTGAATACGTTGAAGTATGTGGAAGTAGTTGACTGCCAAAAAACGGCGGAATAATAATAATAACTAGAAAATGCAATTTCTGAAGAAATTGCGAGTGGGATTGCTTCAGTTGAAATTGCTATCGCTACGCTGCTATTGCGAGTGGCTGAATTTTAAAATATGTGAAAGGTCAAAAGGTATGAAGTATCAGGAAGATTTGAATCAATTGGAATAAACTCAGTTGAATGAATTGAATAATGCATGAATAATAATTTTAAAAATTCAACGTTTGAAAATTAAAATGATTAAAAACCCTGAAGTATGGGAAAGGCTTGAAGAATCAATAAGGTTTGAATCAGTTTAAATGAGCTGTAATTTGTTTGAAAGAACTGAATCATGCATTAAGAGTAAAAAATGATTTAAAACTGGGAAATTAAAAGGTTACAAATCTGGAAGAAAAAAAGTCTTGAAGGATCAAAACGGTTTAAATCAGTTTGAAGGAGTTTAAATTAGTTTGAAGAATTAAATAATGCATTTTCAATGAATGATTGAAAAATGGGGACAATGTAAATGAATAAAAATCCTGATTAGACCCCATAATGTCCTCAATGAGCTAAATTTATTAAGCTCTGGATGGTTTCTGTAGCTCAAGGTTTGTGCGAAGAGATAGATGACAAATTTCGTCAAATAACGCTATTGAAGGGTTTTAAATGTCACCCCCAGTACTCTGTGTACTGAGCCTGGCTTCATGTGTCTCATATGGCTGTTAGAAGCAGCTTTCCAGCCAGCTGTGTGTCTCCAGGTGCGCTTATTGGTTGCCATGGTGACGATAGATGCTTAACAACAGCAGGAGAAAGGAGGCTTGAGGCTGAGAACGTAATGCCCAAGCAACGTCATATTTCTCATCCTCTGTAACTGCTGTCTTCATGATAATGAGCTTGTGAGAACCACAAGGCCCGGCTGAACACGTTGATACAACTTCTGTGTTTGTGGAGCCAAAAATGCCTTCGCAACGACAAGTTAAAAACATGTCCAGTTTGTGTTTCCTCTGAAAATCCTCCTCTCAGGTTTACATTGGAGTCAATGGAGAAAGCTGGAGAAATCTGGGGGATGTCTGTGGCAGTTGGTGTCTGCCCAGGCCACTGTGTGTGTCCTATGGCTTTGATTTTTGAGATGAAGAGTGACAGCGAGTTTTGCCATCACTGTACCAATTTTTATCTGTGTAGAGCGAAGTGAGTTGCCACAATCCTTTTGTAAAGACAAAGTTTTGAGGATCAATTTTCTGCCTGTCTCACTCTAGCTCTGATGTCACCCACTCTAGCGGCCAACATTCCGTGCAATACACACTAATGTTAAAACCTGAAGAGGACAGAAAATCTTTGGACTTTTTAAACTGTCACTGTGAGAAAAGTATGAATGCCATTAAGATGGTGAATGAATGAGTGAATGTCTGAAGATGTGTGAATATTTTAAAGTTTGAATGAAGTTTCTAGGTGAAAGTATGAATGAATGAGAAGAGGTTGAAGTTGAGTATGTCTGAAGCCCTTTTCCCATTGAATCCCATTATAACGAAGTTTGAAACAAATCTTAATATTTTGAAAAGTACAAATGGGATTAAAAATGTTGAAGATGTGGAATAATGCTGACGAATTTGTGAATATTTTGGTTTTTGAATGAAGTTTCTACGTGGAAGTATAGAGGAGTTGAAGGCTTTTGAAGTTTGAAGCCAATTTGAACATTCCGTAATGCATTTCTAATGGGAGAAATCGGTCGGAAAACCTGGAATATCTCGGAAAGTATGAATGTTAGGAAAATTTTGAATACACCCCTGAATCTCCTCGATGAGATGAATCTTTTGAAGTTTGAATGGTTTGAATACGTTGAAGTATGTGGAAGTAGTTGAGGTCCAAAAAACGGTGGAAGTTGCTATAATAATAAGAAAAACTAGAAAATGCAATTTCTGAAGAAATTGCGAGTGGGATTGCTTCAGTTGAAATTGCTATCGCTACGCTGCTATTGCGAGTGGCTGAATTTTAAAATATGTGAAAGGTCAAAAGGTATGAAGTATCAGGAAGATTTGAATCAGTTTGAATAAACTCTGTTGAATGAATTGAATAATGCATGAATAATAATTTTAAAAATTCAACGTTTGAAAATTAAAATGATTAAAAACCCTGAAGTATGGGAAAGGCTTGAAGAATCAATAAGGTTTGAATCAGTTTAAATGAGCTGTAATTTGTTTGAAAGAACTGAATCATGCATTAAGATTAAAAAATGATTTAAAACTGGGAAATTAAAAGGTTACAAATCTGGAAGAAAAAAAGTCTTGAAGAATCAAAACGGTTTAAATCAGTTTGAAGGAGTTTAAATTAGTTTGAAGAATTAAATAATGCATTTTCAATGAATGATTGAAAAATGGGGACAATGTAAATGAATAAAAATCCTGATTAGACCCCATAATGTCCTCAATGAGCTAAATTTATTAAGCTCTGGATGGTTTCTGTAGCTCAAGGTTTGTGCGAAGAGATAGATGACAAATTTCGTCAAATAACGCTATTGAAGGGTTTTAAATGTAACCCCCAGTACTCTGTGTACTGAGCCTGGCTTCATGTGTCTCATATGGCTGTTAGAAGCAGCTTTCCAGCCAGCTGTGTGTCTCCAGGTGCGCTTATTGGTTGCCATGGTGACGATAGATGCTTAACAACAGCAGGAGAAAGGAGGCTTGAGGCCGAGAACGTAATGCCCAAACAACGTCATATTTCTCATCCTCTGTAACTGCTGTCTTCATGATAAGGAGCTTGTGACAACCACAAGGCCCGGCTGAACACATTGATACAACTTCTGTGTTTGTGGAGCCAAAAATGCCTTTGCTACGACAAGTTAAAAACATGTCCAGTTTGTGTTTCCTCTGAAAATCCTCCTCTCAGGTTTACATTGGAGTCAATGGAGAAAGCTGGAGAAATCTGGGGGATGTCTGCGGCAGTTGGTGTCTGCCCGGGCCACTGTGTGTGTCCTATGGCTTTGATTTTTTAGATGAAGAGTGACAGCGAGTTTTGCCATCACTGTACCAAATTTTATCTGTGTAGAGCGAAGTGAGTTGCCACAATCCTTTTGTAAAGACAAAGTTTTGAGGATCAATTTTCAGCCTGTCTCACTCTAGCTGTGAGGTCACCCACTCTAGCGGCCAACATTCCGTGCAATACACACTAATGTTAAAACCTGAACAGGTCAGAAAATCTTTGGACTTTTTGAACTGTCACTGTGAGAAAAGTATGAATGCCATGAAGATGGTGAATGAATGAGTGAATGTCTGAAGATGTGTGAATATTTTAAAGTTTGAATGAAGTTTCTAGGTGAAAGTATGAATGAATGAGAAGAGGTTGAAGTTGACTACGTCTGAAGCCCTTTTCCCATTGACTCCCATTATAACGAAGTTTTAAACAAATCTTAATATTTTGAAAAGTACAAATGGGATTAAAAATGTTGAAGATGTGGAATAATGCTGACGAATTTGTGAATATTTTGGTTTTTGAATGAAGTTTCTACGTGGAAGTATAGAGGAGTTGAAGGCTTTTGAAGTTGTGTGAAGAAAAGGGCCAATTTGAACATTCCGTAATGCATTTCTAATGGGAGAAATCGGTCGGAAAACCTGGAATATCTTGGAAAGTATGAATGTTAGGAAAATTTTGAATACACCCCTGAATGTCCTCAATGAGATGAATCTTTTGATGTTTGAATGGTTTGAATATGTTGAAGTATGTGGAAGTAGTTGAGGGCCAAAAAACGGTGGAAGTTGATATAATAATAATAAAGATATGAATAACATATAGTGGGAATGCTTTGCAATCCCACTCAATAATAACTAGAAAAATTGCATTTCCTTGCAGAAAATGCGTGGAAATGCTGAGTGCTGAAAGCTGAAAAAGCAATGCTAAACTGCTAATAAAACATGGAGAAATGTATAAATGTTAAAGCTGTTGAAGGGGTGTGAAAGAAATGTAAGTTGGATAATTGATTAATTGGTTGAAGGACAAATAGTATGAATATGCTCTATAAAAAGAAATTTTATTCATGCTGAAAGAGGCTAGAAAAATGTCTAAAATTGCACAAAGTTTGAATGAAGAAGGAAATTGCCTTAAAAGGCAGGAAGGTGAGAAGTGGCATAAGTTTAATTTTTTAAGTATTAGAAAGGTTTGAATCAGTTTGAATCAGTTCAAATTAGTTTGAAAAATTAAATGATAACTCATCACTGAGTGACTTTAAAATGTGAAAAATCTAAATGTATATAAATCCTAAATACACCCCATAATGTCCTCAATGAGCTCAAATTTTAAAGCCCTGAATGGTTTCTGTAGGTCAAAGGTCATGTGAGGAGATAGGGGCTGAAGTTTTTTCAAGCGCTCTAGTAAAAGGTTTTAAGTGTCATCCCCAGTGCTATGTGTGCTGAGCCTGGCTTCATGTGTCTCATATGGCCATTAGAGGCAGCTTTCCAGTCAGCTGTGTGTCTCCAGGTGCACTAATTGGTTGCCATGGGGACCTTGGATGCATACCTATAGCAGGAGAAAGAAGGCTTGAAGCTAAGGAAACAGGACTCCAAGTAGGCCCTGACGCTCATCCTCTGTATCTATTCCTGATAAGGAGCTTGTGAGAACACAAGACTCTGCTAAACACATTAATACAATTTATTATCACAATCCTCGAAACACCCCATAATATCTTCAATGAGCTGAATTTTAGAAGCCCAGAATGGTTTCTGTAGCTCAAAGTTTGTGGGTGGAGATAGGTGGCGAAGCAGACACATATTAACTGTGTGTACAAGCAGCTGAACTGCAAGGTAGACCTCATAAAGCAACAAGTACAAGAATGTGTGTGTGTGTGTGTGTGTGTGTGTGTGTGTGTGTGTGTGTGTGTCTCGTTAATGACTGCATCCTAAACAGCTGTGAGATCAAAGGCAAATCACTGACCTACTGTTTGAATGAGAAGCAGCTGAACTGCAGAGGATTTAGAGGCTCTAAACTTCTTCACATAGCGTGATTTCCTTAAGTCACAGAATGAAAATAAGAACATCGTACGAATCCTCCGTCCTTCATGAACACAATGATGTGTTTTTCATGTCTGTACTTGGAAAAATGAGGCCACAACAGCGAGTTAAAAAAGTCTGAGCCTGAGCGATGATCCGGATTTTCTTGGAGAAAAATAACATTATGGTCAATGGGAGAGATTTCCGCCTTATTTGGACAGTTGGTCACCTGCTGGCCAAGGGGTAAGATTAAATGATTTGAAACCTCTTTTGTGAGAAGCAGGACACATATACCTCCATTTTGATGTATTTTTTATGGCTCTGGAGTGAGATTTGTGGGCGTGGGAGCGATATATTCGAGCGAGGTTCTGTCGATCAGAGACGAGGTCTGCACTCTAGCTGATGACATCATCACTCTAAACTCTCCAATACACACCCATTATAAAGCTTGAAATTTGCTGAAAACCACAAGTTGCTTAAAGCTAAATTGTGGAAAAACTGTAAGAGATATCAAAAAACTGAGTACAACTTTAATAGTCGACAATTGAGTGAACATTTTAAAGCAAAAATGAGGTCTCTAGGTGAAAGTATGCTGAAGTTATAAGGCTTTGAAGGTGGAAGAGTAAAAGGTAGAATTTTAAGATTTCCCCATTGACTTCAATGTTAAAATTTTTGCACAAAAAGTTAAAAATATCAAAAAGTATAAAGGGTAGAAGAGTGAAAAGTAATAGCAATAATGTCCTGAAGGAGTGGAATAGTTTAAAGTTTGAACGGTTGAAATCGGACAAAGTTTGAAGGAGGAGAAGCGGTCCAAAAAAGGGACGGAAGAATAATAAGTTTAATAATAATAATAATAATAAAGAAACGGGAGAATAACAATAAGTGGAAATGCTTAATCAGCATTTCCACTTAATAATAATAAAGAAAAATGGCCGACAGGAATAACAATAAGTGGAAATGCTTAATCAGCATTTCCACTTAATAATAATAAAGAAAAATGGCCGACAGGAATAACAATAAGTGGAAATGCTTAATCAGCATTTCCACTTAACTAGAAAAATTGCATTTCCTTGCAGAAAATGCGTGGAAATGCTGAGTGCTGAAAGCTGAAAAAGCAATGCTAAACTGCTAATAAAACATGGAGAAAGGTATAAATGTTAAAGCTGTTGAAGGGGTGAAAAAGAAATATAAGTTGGATAATTGATTAATTGGTTGAAGGACAAATAGTATGAATATGCTCTATAAAAGGAAATTTTATTCATGCTGAAAGAGGCTAGAAAAATGTCGAAAATTGCATAAAGTTTGAATGAAGAAGGAAATTGCCTTAAAAGGCAGGAAGGTGAGAAGTGGCATAAGTTTAAATTGTAGTACTAGAAGTAGTATGATAAGAATTCAAGTCGTGATACTAGTAGTCATGTCAGCAGTAGAAGTAGATTGAGAATAAAAGAAGTATAAGTCAAAGTAGTAAAGAAAGTAGAAATAGGAGCAATAGCAGTTGAAGTAGAGGGGAAAGTCTAGTTTAATTGACATTAGCAGTAGTTGTCGTACTTGAGGTAGGATTTTGTTTGAATGATGGAGTAATGCATAAATATTAAAACTAATTTAAAACAGGGAAATTTTAAATTTTTAAAAGTCCTCAAGTATCAGAAAGTTTTGAAGTATTAGAAAGGTTTGAATCAGTTTGAATGAGTTTAAATTAGTTTGAAAAATTAAATGATAAATCATCACTGACTGACTTTTAAAATGTGAAAAATTTAAATGAATAACAATCCTAAATACACCCAATAATGTCCTCAATGAGCTTAAATTTCAAAGCCCTGAATGGTTTCTGTAGGTCAAAGGTCATATGAGGAGATAGGGGCTGAAGTTTTTTCCAACGCTCTAGGAAAGGGTTTTAAGTGTCATCCCCAGTGCTATGTGTACTGAGCCTGGCTTCATGTGTCTCATATGGCCACTAGAAGCAGCTTTCCAGTCAGCTGTGTGTCTCCAGGTGCACAAATTGGTTGCCATGGGGACCTTGGATGCATAACTATAGCAGGAGAAAGAAGGCTTGAAGCTAAAGAAACAGGACTCCAAGTAGGCCCTGACGCTCACCCTCTGTATATATTCATAAGGAGCTTGTGAGAACACAAGACTCTGCTGAACACATTAATACAATTTATTATCACAATCCTCAAAACACCCCATAATATCTTCAATGAGCTGAATTTTTGAAGCCCAGAATGGTTTCTGTAGCTCAAAGTTTGTGGGTGGAGATAGGTGGTGAAGCAGACACATATTAACTGTGTGTACAAGCAGCTGAACTGCAAGGTGGACCTCAAAAAGCAACAAGTACAAGAATGTGTGTGCGTGTGTGTGTGTGTGTCTCCTTAATGACTGCATCCTAAACAGCTGTGAGATCAAAGGCAAATCACTAACCTACTGTTTGAATGAGAAGCAGCTGAACTGCAGTGAATTTCAGCCTGTGAACTTCTTCACATAGCGTGATTTCCTTAAGTCCCAGAATGAAAATAAGAACATCGTACGAATCCTCCGTCCTTCATGAACACAATGATGTCTTTTTCATGTCTGTACTCCGAAAAATGTGGCCACAACAGCGAGTTAAAAAAGTCTGAACCTGAGTGGGGAAAAGGATTTTCTTGGAGAAGAAGTACATTAGGTCTAATGGAGAGAGATTTCCGACTATTTGGACAGTTGGTCACCTGCTGGCTAAAGGGTAGGATTTAATGATTTGAAACCTCATTTGTGAGAAGCAGGACACATATACCTCCATTTTGATGTATTTTTTGTGTCAGTGGAGTGAGATTTGTGGGCGTGGGAGCGATATATTCGAGCGAGGTTCTGTCGATCAGAGACGAGGTCTGCACTCTAGCTTTTCAAATCCTCACTCTAGCCTCTCCAATACACCCCTATTATAAAGCCTGAAATTTGCTGAAAACCACAAGTTGCATAAAGCTAAATTGTGGAAAAACTGTAAAAGATAGCACAAAAAGGTTAATACAATATCAATAGTCGACAAGACAATGAACATTTTAAAGCAAAAATGAGGTCTCTAGGTGAAAGTATGCTGAAGTTATAAGGCTTAGAAGGTGGACGAATAACAGGAAGAATTGAAAGATTTCCCCATTCATTTCTATGGGAAAAAAAGTTTGGCACAAAAAGTGAAAAATAATAAAAAGTATAAAGGGTAGAAAAGAGAAAAGTAATAGCCATCATGTCCTGAAGGAGTGGAATAGTTAAAAGTTTGAACGGTTGAAATCGGACAAAGTTTGAAGGAGGAGAAGCGGTCCAAAGAAACGTATGGGGAGAGTGTTAAGTATAATACTAGAAAAATTGCATTTCCTTGCAGAAAATGCGTGGAAATGCTGAGTGCTGAAAGCTGAAAAAGCAATGCAAAACTGCCAATAAAAAATGGAGGAAGGTATAAACGGAAAAACTGTAGAAAAGGTGGAGTAGAAGAAGAAGAAATTGTATCAATGGAAGAATTGTAGTATAGCTGGAGGTAAATTAGTTGGATTAATGTACAAATTGTCTGATAGCCTAAGTGAAAAATGTATATGATTGATGTGAATAAACAGAACTGATATGGATAATTGAATTTGAAAAACAAATGCCTTTAAACAATGTGTAACAATGTTCCTATTAAATGTACAAATAGTAAAACAGATTTTTGCAGTCTGCAGCATCCAACCATAGTAACTTGAGAATGCAGAACAGCACCATCTATTGCCCTGCTTCAGTTACTGCCCTACATCTGAATGCAGAAAGTATGAAACAGCTGAAGTTAAATTAATTGTATAAATGTAGAAAGTATAGAAAAGAAAAGCAGAAGTAGAAGAAAAAGAAGAAGTTAGTATGTTAAAAGAGTTAAAGACAAGAACTGTAACAACAAAGTTCATATTGGGGCTGTATTTTCTACTGACAGAGAGACAGTAATGCACACATGGAAACAGTGTGTGTGTGTGTGTGTGTGTGTGTGTGTGTGTGTGTGTGTGTGTGTGTGCCCGCGCGCGCGCGCGGCCGAGCCCGTGCGTGTGCATATGCGTGTGTGATCGAAGCACACAGCCCATGACAAGTGCAGAATCTGACAGAGACAGTAAGAGAGAAAGAGAGACATTAATGCACTCATGGAAACAGTGTGTGTGTATGTGTGTGTGCCCGCGCGCGCACGAGCGGCCAAGTCCGTGCGTGTGCGATCGAAGCACACAGCCCATGACAAGTGCAGAATCTGACAGAGCGATAGTAAGAGACACAGTAATGCACTCATGGAAACAGTGTGTGTGTGTGTGTGTGTGTGTGTGTGTGCCCGCGCGCGCACGAGCGGCCGAGTCCGTGCGTGTGCATGTGCGTGTGCGATCGAAGCACACAGCCCATGACAAGTGCAGAATCTCTGGCTCTGAAGGAATGTACTCACCTCCTGGGCAAGCTGTACAATTTCATGACTTCAGACCGATTTTGTGAGAAGCAGGACGAGTGTACCTCCATTTTGATGTGTTTTTTATGGCTGTGGAGTGAAAATTGCGGCCGCAGCAGCAAAATAATCATGCTTGGTCTAGTGACTCCAAAAGGCCCCGCCCGCATCTAGTGATGACGTCAGACGCTGTAGCGTGAGTCAGGCTGAAAAAGGCAGAAGACTTCATGTTGCTCCAAGCGAAATTGTGCAAAAACGGTAGGAAATAGCAAAAAGGAGTGAATACAACATTTGTAGCAGACACGTTGCTGAACATTTTAAAGCAAAAATGAGGTCTGTAGGTGAAAGTATGCAGAAGTTATAAGGGTGAGAAGGTGTTATAGCTGTATCTCCATTCATTTGTAATGGAACAAATTTTGCAGAAAAAGTGAAATATTGCAAAAAGTATAAATGGTAGAAAGGTGAAAAGTAATAGCAATAATGTCCTGAAGGAGTGCATTAGTATAAAGTTTGAATGGTTAAAATAGCACAAAGTGGTAAGGAGTTGAAAAGGGCCAAAAAAGGTACGGAAGAATAATAATAAGAAAAAAATAATAATAATAATAAAGAAATAGTAGAATAACAATAAGTGGAAATGCTGTGTCAGCATTTCCACTTAACTAGAAAAATTGCATTTCCTTGCAGAAAATGCGTGGAAATGCTGAGTGCTGAAAGCTGAAAGCCATGCAAAACTGCCATTAAAAAATGGAGGAAGGTATGAATGGAAAAACTGTTGAAAAGGTGGAGTAGAAGAAGAAGAAATTGTATGAATGGAAGAATTGTAGTATAGCTTTAGGTAAATTAGTTGGATTAATGTACAAATTGTCTGATAGCCTAAGTGAAAAATGTATATGATTGATGTGAATAAACAGAACTGATAATAAGGATAATTGAATTTGAAAAACAAATGCCTTTAAACAATGTGTAACAATGTTCCTATTAAATGTACAAATAGTAAAACAGATTTTTGCAGTCTGCAGCATCCAACCATAGTAACTTGAGAATGCAGAACAGCACCATCTATTGCCCTGCTTCAGTTACTGCCCTACATCTGAATGTAGAAAGTATGAAACAGCTGAAGTTAAATTAATTGTATAAATGTAGAAAGTATAGAAAAGAAAAGCAGAAGTAGAAGAAAAAGAAGAAGTTAGTATGTTAAAAGAGTTAAAGACAAGAACTGTAACAACAAAGTTCATATTGGGGCTGTATTTTCTACTGACAGACAGTAATGCACACATGGAAACAGTGTGTGTGTGTGTGTGTGTGTGTGTGTGCCCGCGCGCGCGCGCGGCCGAGCCCGTGCGTGTGCATGTGCGTGTGTGATCGAAGCACACAGCCCATGACAAGTGCAGAATCTGACAGAGAGACAGTAAGAGAGAAAGAGAGACATTAATGCACTCATGGAAACAGTGTGTGTGTGTGTGTGTGTGTGTGTGTGTGTGTGTGTGTGCCCGCGCGCGCACGAGCGGCCAAGTCCGTGCGTGTGCGATCGAAGCACACAGCCCATGACAAGTGCAGAATCTCTGGCTCCTAAGGAATGTACTCACCTCCTGGGCAAGCTGTACAATTTCATGACTTCAGACCGATTTTGTGAGAAGCAGGACGAGTGTACCTCCATTTTGATGTGTTTTTTATGGCTGTGGAGTGAAACTTGCGGCCGCGGCAGCAAAATAAACACGCTTGGTCTAGTGAATCCAAAAGGCTCCGGCCGCATCTAGCGGTGACGTCACATCTGACGTCACGCGCTGTAGCGTGAGTCAGGCTGAAAAAGGCAGAAGACTTCATGTTGCTCCAAGCGAAATTGTGCAAAAACGGTAGGAAATAGCAAAAAGGAGTGAATACAACATTTGTAGCAGACACGTTGCTGAACATTTTAAAGCAAAAATGAGGTCTGTAGGTGAAAGTATGCAGAAGTTATAAGGGTGAGAAGGTGTTATAGCTGTATCTCCATTCATTTGTAATGGAACAAATTTTGCAGAAAAAGTGAAATATTGCAAAAAGTATAAATGGTAGAAAGGTGAAAAGTAATAGCCGTAATGTCCTGAAGGAGTGCATTAGTATAAAGTTTGAATGGTGAAAATAGCACAAAGTGGTGAGGAGTTGAAAAGGGCCAAAAAAGGTACGGAAGAATAATAATAACTAGAAAAATTGCATTTCCTTGCAGAAAATGCGTGGAAATGCTGAGTGCTGAAAGCTGAAAAAGCAATGCTAAACTGCTAATAAAACATGGAGAAAGGTATAAATGTTAAAGCTGTTGAAGGGGTGAACAGAAATATAAGTTGGATAATTGATTAATTGGTTGAAGGACAAATAGTATGAATATGCTCTATAAAAGGAAATTTTATTCATGCTGAAAGAGGCTAGAAAAATGTCGAAAATTGCACAAAGTTTTAATGAAGAAGGAAATTGCCTTAAAAGGCAGGAAGGTGAGAAGTGGCATAAGTTTAAATTGTAGTACTAGAAGTAGTATGATAAGAAGTCAAGTTATGATACTAGTAGTCATGTCGGCAGTAGAAGTAGATTGAGAATAAAAGAAGTATAAGTCAAAGTAGTAAAGAAAGTAGAAATAGGAGCAATAGCAGTTGAAGTAGAGGGGAAAGTTCTAGTTTAATTGACATTAGCAGTAGTTGTCGTACTTGAGGTAGGATTTTGTTTGAATGATGGAGTAATGCATAAATATTAAAACTAATTTAAATCAGGGAAATTTTAAATTATCAAAAATCCTCAAGTATCAGAAAGTTTTGAAGTATTAGAAAGGTTTGAATCAGTTTGAATGAGTTTAAATTAGTTTGAAAAATTAAATGATAAATCATCACTGACTGACTTTTAAAATGTGAAAAATTTAAATGAATAACAATCCTAAATACACCCAATAATGTCCTCAATGAGCTTAAATTTCAAAGCCCTGAATGGTTTCTGTAGGTCAAAGGTCATGTGAGGAGATAGGGGCTGAAGTTTTTTCCAACGCTCTAGGAAAGGGTTTTAAGTGTCATCCCAATTGCTATGTGTACTGAGCCTGGCTTCATGTGTCTCATATGGCCACTAGAAGCAGCTTTCCAGTCAGCTGTGTGTCTCCAGGTGCACAAATTGGTTGCCATGGGGACCTTGGATGCATAACTATAGCAGGAGAAAATAGCCTTGAAGCTAAAGAAACAGGACTCCAAGTAGGCCCTGACGCTCACCCTCTGTATATATTCATAAGGAGCTTGTGAGAACACAAGACTCTGCTGAACACATTAATACAATTTATTATCACAATCCTCAAAACACCCCATAATATCTTCAATGAGCTGAATTTTTGAAGCCCAGAATGGTTTCTGTAGCTCAAAGTTTGTGGGTGGAGATAGGTGGTGAAGCAGACACAAATTAACTGTGTGTACAAGCAGCTGAACTGCAAGGTAGACCTCAAAAAGCAACAAGTACAAGAATGTGTGTGCGTGTGTGTGTGCGTCTCGTTAATGATTGCATCCTAAACAGCTGTGACATCAAAGCCATGACCTATTGACCTATTGTTTGAATGGAGAAGCTGCTGAACTGCATTGAATTTAGGGTTCTGAACTTCTTCACATAGCACGATTTCCTTAAATCCCAGAATGAAAATAAGAACATCGTACGAATCCTCCGTCCTTCATGAACACAATGATGTGTTTTTCATGTCTGTACTTCGAAAAATGAGGCCACAACAGCGAGTTAAAAAAGTCTGAGCCTGAGCGATGATCCGGATTTTCTTGGAGAAAAATAACATTATGGTCAATGGGAGAGATATCCGCCTTCCTTGGACAGTTGGTCACCTGCTGGCCAAGGGGTAGGATTTAATGATTTGAAACCTCTTTTGTGAGAAGCAGGACACATATACCTCCATTTTGATGTATTATTTATGGCTGTGGAGTGAGATTTGTGGGCGTGGGAGCGATATATTCGAGCGAGGTTCTGTCGATCAGAGACGGGGTCTGCACTCTAGCTTTTCAAATCCTCACTCTAAACTCTCCAATACACACCCATTATAAAGCCTGAAAATTAGCTGAAAACCACAAGTTGCTTAAAGCTAAATTGTGGAAAAACTGTAAAAGATAGCACAAAAAGGTTAATACAACATCAATAGTCGACAAGACAATGAACATTTTAAAGCAAAAATGAGGTCTCTAGGTGAAAGTATGCTGAAGTTATAAGGCTTAGAAGGTGGACGAATAACAGGAAGAATTGAAAGATTTCCCCATTCATTTCTATGGGAAAAAAAGTTTGGCACAAAAAGTGAAAAATAATAAAAAGTATAAAGGGTAGATAAAAGAAAAGTAATAGCCATCATGTCCTGAAGGAGTGGAATAGTTTAAAGTTTGAACGGTTGAAATCGGACAAAGTTTGAAGGAGGAGAAGCGGTCCAAAGAAACATATGGGGAGAGTGTTAAGTATAATACTAGAAAAATTGCATTTCCTTGCAGAAAATGCGTGGAAATGCTGAGTGCTGAAAGCTGAAAAAGCAATGCTAAACTGCTAATAAAACATGGAGAAATGTATAAATGTTAAAGCTGTTGAAGGGGTGTGAAAGAAATGTAAGTTGGATAATTGATTAATTGGTTGAAGGACAAATAGTATGAATATGCTCTATAAAAAGAAATTTTATTCATGCTGAAAGAGGCTAGAAAAATGTCTAAAATTGCACAAAGTTTGAATGAAGAAGGAAATTGCCTTAAAAGGCAGGAATGTGGGAAGTGGCATAAGTTTAATTTTTTAAGTATTAGAAAGGTTTGAATCAGTTTGAATCAGTTCAAATTAGTTTGAAAAATTAAATGATAAATCATCACTGAGTAACTTTAAAATGTGAAAAATCTAAATGTATATAAATCCTAAATACACCCCATAATGTCCTCAATGAGCTTAAATTTTAAAGCCCTGAATGGTTTCTGTAGGTCAAAGGTCATGTGAGGAGATAGGGGCTGAAGTTTTTTCAAGCGCTCTAGTAAAGGGTTTTAAGTGTCATCCCCAGTGCTATGTGTGCTGAGCCTGGCTTCATGTGTCTCATATGGCCATTAGAAGCAGCTTTCCAGTCAGCTGTGTGTCTCCAGGTGCACAAATTGGTTGCCATGGGGACCTTGGATGCATAACTATAGCAGGAGAAAGAAGGCTTGAAGCTAAGGAAACAGGACTCCAAGTAGGCCCTGACGCTCATCCTCTGTATCTATTCCTGATAAGGAGCTTGTGAGAACACAAGACTCTGCTAAACACATTAATACAATTTATTATCACAATCCTCAAAACACCCCATAATATCTTCAATGAGCTGAATTTTTGAAGCCCAGAATGGTTTCTGTAGCTCAAAGTTTGTGGGTGGAGATAGGTGGTGAAGCAGACACATATTAACTGTGTGTACAAGCAGCTGAACTGCAAGGTGGACCTCAAAAAGCAACAAGTACAAGAATGTGTGTGCGTGTGTGTGTGTGTGTGTGTGTGTGTGTGTGTCTCGTTAATGACTGCATCCTAAACAGCTGTGAGATCAAAGGCAAATCACTAACCTACTGTTTGACTGAGAGGTGCTGAACTGCAGTGAATTTCAGCCTGTGAACTTCTTCACATAGCGTGATTTCCTTAAGTCCCAGAATGAAAATAAGAACATCGTACGAATCCTCCGTCCTTCATGAACACAATGATGTCTTTTTCATGTCTGTACTCCGAAAAATGTGGCCACAACAGCGAGTTAAAAAAGTCTGAACCTGAGTGGGGAAAAGGATTTTCTTGGAGAAGAAGTACATTAGGTCTAATGGAGAGAGATTTCCGTCTATTTGGACAGTTGGTCACCTGCTGGCTAAAGGGTAGGATTTAATGATTTGAAACCTCTTTTGTGAGAAGCAGGACACATATACCTCCATTTTGATGTATTTTTTGTGTCAGTGGAGTGAGATTTGTGGGCGTGGGAGCGATATATTCGAGCGAGGTTCTGTCGATCAGAGACGAGGTCTGCACTCTAGCTTTTCAAATCCTCACTCTAGCCTCTCCAATACACCCCTATTATAAAGCCTGAAATTTGCTGAAAACCACAAGTTGCATAAAGCTAAATTGTGGAAAAACTGTAAAAGAAAGCCGAAAAAGGTTAATACAATATCAATAGTCGACAAGACAATGAACATTTTAAAGCAAAAATGAGGTCTCTAGGTGAAAGTATACTGAAGTTATAAGGCTTAGAAGGTGGACGAATAACAGGAAGAATTGGAAGATTTCCCCATTCATTTCTATGGGAAAAAAAGTTTGGCACAAAAAGTGAAAAATAATAAAAAGTATAAAGGGTAGAAAAGAGAAAAGTAATAGCCATCATGTCCTGAAGGAGTGGAATAGTCAAAAGTTTGAACGGTTGAAATCGGACAAAGTTTGAAGGAGGAGAAGCGGTCCAAAGAAACGTATGGGGAGAGTGTTAAGTATAATACTAGAAAAATTGCATTTCCTTGCAGAAAATGCGTGGAAATGCTGAGTGCTGAAAGCTGAAAAAGCAATGCAAAACTGCCAATAAAAAATGGAGGAAGGTATAAACGGAAAAACTGTAGAAAAGGTGGAGTAGAAGAAGAAGAAATTGTATGAATGGAAGAATTGTAGTATAGCTGGAGGTAAATTAGTTGGATTAATGTACAAATTGTCTGATAGCCTAAGTGAAAAATGTATATGATTGATGTGAATAAACAGAACTGATATGGATAATTGAATTTGAAAAACAAATGCCTTTAAACAATGTGTAACAATGTTCCTATTAAATGTACAAATAGTAAAACAGATTTTTGCAGTCTGCAGCATCCAACCATAGTAACTTGAGAATGCAGAACAGCACCATCTATTGCCCTGCTTCAGTTACTGCCCTACATCTGAATGTAGAAAGTATGAAACAGCTGAAGTGAAATTAATTGTATAAATGTAGAAAGTATAGAAAAGAAAAGCAGAAGTAGAAGAAAAAGAAGTTAGTATGTTAAAAGAGTTAAAGACAAGAACTGTAACAACAAAGTTCATATTGGGGCTGTATTTTCTACTGACAGAGAGACAGTAATGCACACATGGAAACAGTGTGTGTGTGTGTGTGTGTGCCCGCGCGCGCGCGCGGCCGAGCCCACGCGTGTGCATGTGCGTGTGTGATCGAAGCACACAGCCCATGACAAGTGCAGAATCTGACAGAGAGACAGTAAGAGAGAAAGAGAGACAGTACTGCACTCATGGAAACAGTGTGTGTGTGTGTGTGTGTGTGTGTGTGTGTGCTCGCGCGCGCACGAGCGGCCAAGTCCGTGCGTGTGCGATCGAAGCACACAGCCCATGACAAGTGCAGAATCTGACAGAAAAACAGTAAGAGAGAAAGACAGACAGTAATGCACTCATGGAAACAGTGTGTGTGTGTGTGTGTGTGTATGTGTGTGTGCCCGCGCGCGCACGAGCGGCCAAGTCCGTGCGTGTGCGATCGAAGCACACAGCCCATGACAAGTGCAGAATCTCTGGCTCCTAAGGAATGTACTCACCTCCTGGGCAAGCTGTACAATTTCCGATTTTGTGAGAAGCAGGACGAGTGTACCTCCATTTTGATGTGTTTTTTATGGCTGTGGAGTGAAACTTGCGGCCGCGGCAGCAGAATAAACACACTTGGTCTAGTGAATCCAAAAGGCCCCGCCCGCATCTAGTGATGACGTAACATCTGACGTCACACGCTGTAGCGTGAGTCAGGCTGAAAAAGGCAGAGAACTTCATGTTGCTCCAAGCGAAATTGTGCAAAAACGGTAGGAAATAGCAAAAAGGAGTGAATACAACATTTGTAGCAGACACGTTGCTGAACATTTTAAAGCAAAAATGAGGTCTGTAGGTGAAAGTATGCAGAAGTTATAAGGGTGAGAATGTGTTATAGCTGTATCTCCATTCATTTGTAATGGAACAAATTTTGCAGAAAAAGTGAAATATTGCAAAAAGTATAAATGGTAGAAAGGTGAAAAGTAATAGCCGTAATGTCCTGAAGGAGTGCATTAGTATAAAGTTTGAATGGTGAAAATAGCACAAAGTGGTGAGGAGTTGAAAAGGGCCAAAAAAGGTACGGAATAATAATAATAATAATAATAATAATAATAAAGAAATAGTAGAATAACAATAAGTGGAAATGCTGTGTCAGCATTTCCACTTAATAAAGAAATAGTAGAATAACAATAAGTGGAAATGCTGTGTCAGCATTTCCACTTAACTAGAAAAGTTGCATTTCCTTGCAGAAAATGCGTGGAAATGCTGAGTGCTGAAAGCTGAGAAGCCAAGCATGCAAAACTGTGAAAAAAATGGAGGAGAGTATAAATGAAAAAAACTGTTAAAGGGGTGAAGTGTAATAAGTAGAAGTTGTGTGAATGTTTAAACCGTAACAGAACTGAAGAAGAAGATATTGAAAAAGAGATGAGTTATATGGATGTAAAAACACTGGGAGAGGTAAACCAGAAGCTGTATGAATATTCAGATTGCTTAAGAACTGAACTTGAACATTACAGAAAATATGGTAAAGAATTTTAAAGATGGCTGAAAAGGCCTTCATGTTGGACGAAGTAGAAATGAATTTAAATGAGACATGAACACATTACACAAATATATTTAATTTAAAATTTGCATCAACTTAAAAAATTAAAACTGAGTTTTTACATAAGTAAAACCAAAAGAAAGAAAAAAAAATTGTCAATCCTTTAACATTTTGTGAGCAATGAAATGATTAATCATAAAACATTAAAAAAAAATTAAAACAAAACATCAAAACATAAACACATAAAGAAACAATGTTCCATAGTGCCTTAAATCAAATTATAAACAATTTGTTTGTGAACAGGTTTTGGAAGCAGAAATCTTTACATGGGTGACCAATCTGTCTCTTAAGCCTGAGGTTTTAAGATTGTAGTTGCTGTAATTATTGATGGACAAAGGTATCACATTTTCAGTTGTTTCTAATATTGTTTAGCCCAATCATTAAAGGCTCTTCATACGGTGCTTAGACTGAGGCTAACACCCCATTATTTACTTGATTCAAACTCCAGCAGCCCTGGACCCACATTCACCTCTTTTCTTGTGTATTCGGATTACTAAGCCTTAAAAGTTGGCTCATAAAATTTGTCATGGCACATTAAGCCAAGTCCTGTGTTGTGGGCTTTAAAGACAGACCTTGAAATTTGATTTCAAAGTCTGATACAGGACTGTTATGCGTGTTTTTAAGGGTTTAGATTAGCCTAAGACTAAGTTTGCACAGCTGAAAAACCTTTATTATACCTATACATAAAAAAAATATATGAAAATGGTGACTTGAGAGTTATAAAAAAATAGTTACTAAAATCGGTCAGCAGTATAACAACATAAATGTGAAACACAACAAGTATAGAATAAATGTAAAATAATGTGAAGGGTAAGGTAAAGAATGCAAATGCAAATAATGCAAAGTTATCCAGGCTTGTGGAAATATACAGGCAAAGTAAGGTGAAAGGCTTATTAATTAAATATGGCATTTTAGTATTTTTTAAAGCTAACTGCAGTGAAATGTGGGCCCTCTCATGTAGAAAAAAAAGAAAATTATCGAATAATAAATAATTATAATAATAAATAAAATTAAATGACATGAAACTGAAACTTTAAACAAAATCTAAAATGATCAGATTAAAAAGTAGATTTGAGAACTTGAAATAAATTGATGTAATGGATTGGTCCACCTTACCACCAAAGGGCTTTTCACAGTAGACCAAGGATAATACTGTCATCAGCTCATTGTAGTGGACTGACAATCTGGTCAGCAAAAATAACTCAGCGGTTTACTGTACAGTGTAGTACAGAAGTCTTTTACAGAAATTAAAATATTTTTTTTTAATTAAATCTAAATTTAAGATTTGAAATAATGTGGAGGGTAAGGTAAAGAATGCAAATGCAAAAGGTGCAAAGTCATCCAGGCTTGCGGAAATATACAGGCAAAGTAAGATGAAAGGTTAATAACTTAAATATGGCACTAAGGTATTTTTTATAGCATGTATTGGTCCACCTTACCACCCAAAAGGCTTTTCACAGTAGTTAGACCAAGGCTAATACTGTCATCAGCTCATTGTAGTGGACTGACAATCTGGTCAGCATTTTAGATCCCAGTGTTTTCTTATCCAAACATTCACACTACTTGTCGTACTGAAATGCTGGGTTGTCTTCACGATGATAGTTTCTTTTTAAAAGTTTTCTACTATGGAGAAATACATTTTAAGGATAAGCATAAAAACTTTGTTCCTCTATGAAATCCCTTCACACAGCTCGTAAACGAGCCCTGTGTTTGAGGATTGTGACGGCAACCTTCAGCAGGGATTGGTTCACACTGTAATGCTGGGATCACTGCTGTCCAAAACATTAGCCCAAGACTAAGCACACGTGAAAAACCTGCAGTGTACCTACCAGCTGAAACCCAAAGTACATCATTAATTTCTAAAACACGTCTTCTCTTGTAGGTAAATTTGAGGGATATGGTGAGCATATTAAAATGAGAAATTCAGCTGCCTGCAACAACTGAAGTAACTGGTATTATTTCCCTTCATCAGTGTTGGTCATCTTTTGATATAAGGACAGATACACAGTAAAAGGGAAAGAAAATACTAAAATAAAATAGAACAAATAAAGTCCAAGAAACATAAAGGAAACTTAAAATATTAACAGATATCGACAACTAATCACTGAATGTAGAAAACAGGATTCAAAACAATATAAGAGTAATAGTTGTCCTGTCCTGAAGAAAATCAGTCAGTTCTTCAAGTGAGTACTGTGTTCTGTCTGGGCACTTTTGTTCAAAACCAAAAGCAGAGCCCGCTACAGTTCAGAGTGAAGGTTTAGAGTGAGGTAATGTTTTGACCTTTGACCTGTGGTTGTAGAATCGCTGTGTGCAGTTATCAGTGTTCGAGTTGACAGCATCACTGGAGTCAGGGAAAGTTTAAAGCTGCAGTAAAGATGAACTGATGATCTGAATGTGATGACATCTGCTGCAGCTTGCTTCACAGGACTGCAGGACTTGTAGGATCACCATTAGTTAGCTGCACTTGCTACACCGTGGATGAACAGACAGTGACTTGAAGTAGGAGAATGTAGCTGGTTCAAAACAGGAAATAAACAGAAACATTTGTGTTGATAATCTGTGAAACTAAACATGTTAAATAAATACACACATCATTAAAATGAATACCTTCAGCACTGCAGCAGAGCAAAAATATTTCTGTCCAGAGCAACTTCACCAGGTCTGCAGCAGCAAAGCTTCCTCACACAGAGAGGCTCAAGGCTCAGGGTGGCTGCATGATGTCCACCTTTGGTGCGTTCAGCTGCCTGAGTGTCTAAGCTGTTCTTCCTCTCTTAACTGGCTTGAAGAAGACCTGGGAGAAAACACTGCTGTTAAAGACGATGATATCAGCAGAGCTGTACAATAGCATCACAAGCATTAATACAGCAGCTAAGATAACTAAGAAAAAATAAATGAACACAAGTTCACTAAGACATTACCTCAGACGTTCTTGAAGAGGGGTTTATCTCTTGGAGGTTCAGCAGGAACGAGCCCAGTGAGTGACAGGTACTACAGCATCAGTTCTGCTTCAGCCTGGTGTCTGGTGGTCCTTGAGAGCTGCTTCAGGACATCTGGAGCATGAGCAGGTAAAACACATGTTTGTGTAGTCCATGAGAGAAGGGTCCTGGTGGGTGCTGCAATCTGTCCAGCACAGCGATGATGGTTGTTGAGAGCAGCAGGGGGATGGTGTGGAGGATGTCATCTCTTCTTCACCTCTGACCAAAGACTGGGTTAAACAGCAGGTAGACTGTGTCTTTGAGTGGTCCAAAGTGATGTGTTTACTTCTGGTTGACGGTTTGATAATTTTTTTCTGCTCATAAGTGAGCTAGTCAGGACAGCACTAATGGTCAGGTCAAAGATGGCAGAGACAACTGAAGAAGAAAAAAAAAAATACCCAAACAAAAGGAAACTTAGCTTTACTCTACTGTACCTACAGGTGATGTGTTTACTTTTGGTTGACAGTTTGATAATTTTTTTCAGTTTACAGTGAGCTAGTCAGGATAGTACTAATGGGGGTCAGGTTAAAGATGGCGGGGACAACTGAAAAAAAAAATAATAATAAAAAATAAAAAATAAAAAATAAAAACCTACCCAAAGAAAAGGAAACTTATGTTTGCCCTAGTGTACTTACAGCCACCCATGCTAAGAGAGTGGTGTAAAGTTGGGTGGAGAAAAGGGGGGTTTCAGCTGGTAGGTAACAGAACATCAGAAAGTGTGTGTTCATTAGGGAACACACACTTTCTGATGGAGGTTTTTAATTTTAGCTGCTGTATACAGTATTGTACACAGCAGCTGAGAGTTTTGGCCTGTGCATTTATCAATCCGCACCCACCCTCCCTATGTCCAGTCAAGTCAAGTTAAATGGATTAACTTGACTTGACTGGACTTGATAAATGCACAGGCCAAAAATTGTCATTTATAACATTTGAATAGTTGGAAAATTTTACAACCTGAAAAATATTTTCTATCTAAAAATTCTGAACCATAAAAATATATTTTGCACAAGTAAAATTTACAATGACCAAACACATTTCAATCTGTACTGAAAATATGAGCATAACATTAGCCACAACTTCTCTGGTTTGTCTTTTCCTTCAGAGCAGTTTCCTCTATGACCTGTTGGATGAAATGACACAATAAGTGGCGTTGTGGTAACTGTAGTAGGTCTGCATGATACCTGAGGAGAGACATAGCTGAGGTCGTGAGATGAAGATCAGGTCCAGCAGTGTGTTCTTGTCCGTTGTAGCAGCAGTGATCAGTTGACCATATCCCTTGGACTGAAAGAAATCCAGAATTGGCTTACTTGCATTAGAAAAGAGATTCTCATTGAAGTCGCCACAGACGATGATGGGATGACAGTCCATGATCTCAAGTGAGTCCAGAAGGCTTCCCAGATTGGACAGGAATGATGGCACACTGTAGTCTGGAGGTCTGTACACAGCTGCAATCAGAGCACTTACAGGAGATTCAACCTTCAAAGCCACAAACTCAAGGTCAGTCACATTATTCAGGTACTGTTTCTCCACAACCTGCAAATGGTTTTTCACATAAACAGCGACTCCACCACCTCCTTTACTGGCCATCTGTGGAAAGTTAGTGTAGGACAAATGTCTGTTGCGTTTGAACATGGTGTAGCCCTCAAACTGGAGACTGTCCGCCACAAAGGAGCCCTGTAGGTGAGTTTCTGTCAGACACAAAACATCTGCAAGACACAGTTCATGATGGCTTTTGATGTCATTCACATGAGCAGGTAATCCTTCGGTGTTGTGATGAATGATGCTCACAGTGTCCTGTCTGCTGAGAGAATGCTGGATCTGGAGAAAAGGCATGAGGTGATCAAAGTTAGCTTGCGTCATGGTCTCCAAAGATACAGTGACTGCAGGGTTAGCATGGATTTTACTCTCATCCAAATCAAGCATGTGCAGTCCGCTGAGAGAGGTCACTCGACTGATAGCTACGTAGGCCATGCCGGGCTCAAAAATGTGCTTCAGTGAGACAACAGCAGATTTTCTGGTCATACCTTGAACCTTGTGTATCGTGCATGCAAAGGCAAGTTTCACAGGAAACTGTCTGCGTACCACTCCTTTCTGTTGCAGAGCCTCTTCAGATCTCTCGATGTACACAAGATTGTCTCCTCGAGTACGATAGCTCCTGCCAGCTGTTTCATCATCCATCTTGAGACCAAGCATAGTGACAAGAGTAGAACTGTTGTTTTCAGAGCTTATGAGACGGCCCACTGTAGCAAATGATCCGTTCACCAATCCTTGAGACACATCAATGTTTCTGGTAAGCATGACTCTAGCACCTACTGCAACATCTAGGGTGTCAGGTAGATCATTTCTGCTTCCATGACATGGTGCACCTTGTCTTTTCATGTGTCCAGTGTGTGGGTCTTTTTTAAAGTCATCTGCATCAATGGTGGTGATATCAGAATGGAGCAGAGATAGTGTAGCAGAGTTGTGTGCTGCAACTTGTTTGTTTGTAGCAAAAATGTGCAGGACATCAGAGGGACACAGTTGTGGTTCAGTGACACGCTGTGACAGCAGATCTCTGTCAGCTTCAGAAAGCTCATCTGACCTTGTTTTCACACGGAGTCTGTTCAGCATCTCGGCAAAAGTTTTGTCATCCTTCTGTCGCATGATCTCATCCAAAGTGATCACCTGGAAGTTGTCTCTCCAGAGGTCAAGCTCACTTGGATCATAGACACAGAGTGGTTTGGACTGTCGCACAGGCGGTAGCTGGTAAAAGTCTCCCACAGCAATGACTGACATTCCTCCAAAGGGTTTGTGGCTGCCTTTAATCTGTTTCAGTCTCACATCCACATAGGCAAACAGAGGCTTCGACACCATGGAGATTTCATCAATGATGATGATTTCAGCATTTAAAAGCTCACACCTGATTTCATCAAGTTGGTTCCCAAGACCTTGAAAAGGAGGTTTCAAACTTCTGGGCAGCTTGAGGAGAGAGTGCAGTGTTGTTCCAGAGATGTTAAAGGCTGCAGTTCTGGTGAAAGCAGTCAACAGCACAGTCGGGTTTGAGATGTCAGCTTCTTCAGCACGTCTAGGTAGTGTTCTCAGAATCTTTGATGCTTCTGAATGAATGCATTTAATGAGATGTGACTTTCCAGTGCCAGCACCACCATTGATGTAGTAGAAAAACTGCTCTGGTTGTGGTCCACAGACTCGTTTTATGCACCAGTCTCTTACTGCATAGAACACACATGCCTGTTTCTGGTTCAGACTCTGATACATTTGTCGTAACCGTGTGGGATCGATTGTAGGGGGCTCTCTCATGACTCTGGCCTCTGTAGCAGCATTTGCTTGTCTGCTGTAATCCGGTACATCCTCTTGGACATTTTCACACTGTCTGGCATCCAGTTCATCGATACACTCCAACCTCACCAGTTCAGATTCAGGTGCCAAATTACACCATTCATCGACCACACCTCTGTTCTGTTCAAAGTCCTCGAGAGCAGAGTCAATTTCCTCACTGTTTTTTTCATATCTCTCTCTGTTTCTTTTCACAATGAGTTTCACACTCAGGGGTCGGTCAGAATACGGCAGCTGAACCACACCTCTCTCATAGAATGACTCATATGTGGGAAAATATGGTCTTTTCAGCTCATCGTCTGATCTGTATGGAAGATACAGTCTAAGCAATGTGCCGTAAAACTGCTCAGGGTATTTCTCTTTGGATATGCGGCGATACCTGATGACAGCAGCGTTGTCACTTTCTCGTCTCTGTATAAAGCCTAGTTCATTCAGCAGAGGTACCACTTTCTTGCCCTTGGTCTGTTGTCCATACACCAGTCTGCAGGTAGACGCAAAATCAGCCATGCACATCTCTTCAAACTCTGGTGATTCAGGTCTGGATTTGTACTTGTCTGTTAAGGATGTCATCCACACATTCAAGCTGTCTGGTGTTGTGTTGTCAAGGCTTGACACAGGCAGACTCATTTTCACTGGGTTGTCATCAGTTGGGACAAAAACCACACTGCGTGAACTCTTTTTCATGTTCAGTGAAGTCACTCGGGCAACAGCTTCTTGTGCTGATACTTCTCGCTTTTTGGAATACGCCTGCATGACCGCTTTCATTTCATCACATTCATTGACACATTCTCTGTCGGAGTTCTGAATGAGTGTTTGCAGGTACTGGCTCACAGAGTTCTCACTTTTACACATGTACGTACATATGTAATGGATCAGACTGTAGTAGCTGAGAATGAACTGCACGTCAATGTTTGCATCCCAAGCTTTGAGCAGGTGAGGGTTGTAGGTGTTTACCCAGCAGTCTTTTGGCTCACGCTTCAGAATGATGTTGCTGGACTGACTCATCACATTCATGTGTTTCTCATACTCATCAGCGGTTAAGTCACAGACAGACAGGAGCTGTTGAAAACTCATGGATTCAGTTTGTGTCTCATTCAGCAGCTGATTCAGTGGTGCAAGTTTCTCTTTGGCTCTCTTAAGTCTCTCTGACTCCTCATCATCACCCACAGGTCTTGTTATCATTGTCTGTCTGGAGGGTGGTTTTGGGAATCCAAATCGGCATCCAGAACTTGCACTTTTGAAACATGTCTTTGAGTGGTTCTTACTGTGTATTTGCACTTCTTTGACCTTTTTGTACAGTTCAGGCTGTTTGTTTGGGTCAGGGAGCTGAGCAGAGATGTGTTTGGACACAAAGTCACACACAGTTTTGTCAGAGTCTCTCTCAAACACAGGTGCACCTTCTACCCACAAAAGACCATGTATATGAGGACTTCCTCTGTGCTGAAACTCGAGACGCCAAAAGAAGTCAAAAACTTTGCCCAGGGGTTGTGCAGGAGACATGATCAGATCTCTGTACAGTGCTTCAACACGCTTATCAAACATGCGCATCGTTGTCACAGGATTGCTTCTCAGAATGTCACACTTTGTGGACCAGTCGAGCTCTTCAAAATTCACCTCCTCACCTTGTTGTAATTTTATTGCAATAATCACCTCAGGCCAACGCATTTCTGCTGCAGAAAATGTGACAAAGAAAGTAGGACTGCCCAACTGTCTGATCATAGCAAACAGATCTTTTGTAGTTTTGTCCCAGTAGGCTGGTGTTCCTCTGAGCGGCTGCATAAATCTGATAGCATCTCTGTTTCTCACCAGTCTCTCCACTTCGTATTTGTCTCTCAACATTCTGGATGTTATTTTACGTCCGTCTCTGGTCAAAGGTTTGCCTTTGCGTAACTGTATTGACATGCTGGAGGTAGCCAAGTGTATTTCAGTCACAAACTGTGCAAAGAACAGGTAGTTGGTATCTTTGGCAAAGCGATCATCAACACCAAAGAGCCTTGCTTTAAAATAACTACTGGGTGATAGTTTCATGGGTCTGTTTTCATCCAGTGTATTCTCACCAGTGGGAAACTGAACAGGAAACGCCATGGCCTCTAGTTTGGGTGTTTTGAAAAAACTGACTGGATTGTTTCTCTCTGCTGGAGCTACTGAGTATGTAGAGTCACTGAAACACAATATCTCCTCAGAAACATCCCGTGGCTGAAGGCACGACTCCAAAACAACACCACCATTAGATATGTCTGCATCCTGTTGTTGTGTCTGATCATCATTGTCCTGGGTCTGACTTTTATCACACAACTCTGTGTTCTCATCCTCAGTTTCAACATTAGTTTCAGCCTCATACATGGCAGCAGCCTCAATTCTATCAATTTCCATCAAATCCTCATCATCATAGTCGTCATCATTCATTGTGTTATCATCATCCTCATCCTCATCCTCATCACCATCATCAGGAAGTGTGGGGTCACATAACTCCTCCTCATCTCTAATAGTGATGTCTTCATACTGGGGGTGTATCTCTTTCAGTTTATGCAGAGCCTGCACTAGCTTGGACCAGGTAACAGTCTGAAACAGATGGTGACCTCTGTAACTCAAGCGTCTCTTCAGTTTTACTCTCATCACCTGAGACTCATTTCTCAATCTGGGTAGAGCCTGAATTGTCTCCTGGACTTCAGAGGGAACACATACAACATTACCATGTATAGCTCTCTGTCTGCCTTTGGGAAGAGGAATGATTTTGGCAAATGTTATGCACTTTGCTATCAGATGTCTCTCCAGTATGTTGAGGTCACACAGCTCAGGTGGTATGTCAGCAAGCTCCAAGTTGTTTGCTATGGCAAGTTTAGGCATGGCTCCATTTTTCAGATGGTCATGGCAGGTGTGACAAATCCACTCAGTCTTCCTCTCATCAGGGACAGTGCACTGATTTCTGCAGTCATCGTTACAATCATGGACGTACTGACCTTTGAGACAAGCTGAAACCATGATTGGATTTTTCACATAGTTGGACCTCTTGCACTTTTGTACTTGGTTTGGAAATGAGGCTTTGTGACAAACCGTGCAAACATAGGTGGGACCAGCTTTAATGTGTGATCGGAAAATATTTATGGCACTTTCAATAAGAGGGTTTTCACTCTCTCTGTCAGTCTCATGTGTTTGTTTACTCATCCGTTTGTATTTCTTTGATATTTTCAATGCACATTTAATTTTATGCATCATCCTGTGTGTAAGCTTTGTCTTATACCTGTCTCGCATCATTTGTCTCATCAGCTGTCTGTGTCGGTTACGGAATATTTCATCATTTGCATATCGATGATGGATGAAGGATTGCTGTCTTTGCCTGAAATTAACATCCTCTGAGTATTTGTTCCTGATATACTCTTTTTGTTTGCTTTTAAAATCAACATTTTCTCTGTATTTTTTTGTGATATATTCTTTTTGTTTGCCTTTAAAATCAACATTTTCTCTGTATTTTTTTGTGATATATTCTTTTTGTTTGCCTTTAAAATCAACATTTTCTCTGTATTTTTTTGTGATATATTCTTTTTGTCTACCTTTATATTCAACATTGTCTTTGTATTTGTTAGTGATATATTGTTTTTGTTTTAGTCTGAAGTCTGTGCTTTCTCTGTATTTAGTTGTGATCTTTTGTCTTTTCTTTGTTTGTATTTCAGGATTGACAGAGTATTTCTCACTTGAATAAGACTTTTTCTTTGCTTTGTATGTTTCATTCTTAGCATACTTTTCTCTCTCTCTCCTTTTTTGATTCTCTTTCTTTTCAGATGTCTTTCCAGATCTCATTAGTCTCCTCTTAAATTTCTTTTTTTGCTGTTTGCTCAATTTGGACAGTTTAGTGGAGATGTCATGGATAACTTTGTCACTAGCAACGGGGATCGTTATCAATGGTTGTGTCAAATCTGATTGTGTCTGTTGAGTTTCCTCTAATGTGACAGAATTATTGTTGATTTGACCTGATTGATGAGCTTGATTTTCCATCAAAGTTGAGGCTTTCTGTGATGTGTCATCACTTACAGTAGTGTTCATCTCTGGAGTGAGAATTTCAGGACCAGTTAATGTGACAGAACACTGGTTGCAGTCGATCAGTGGTTCTGGTTCAGTTTCCATGTCACATTCAGTGTTTTCATGGACATCAGTGTTCATCTGTGGGGCACTTGTGTCATCATTTATCACAGTGGTTGTGACAGAGGGACTTGTGGACGGACTTTCTGTGGCTGGGATAGCATCACTTGGGTTCACATCACAGAACACAACTGGCTTGAGCTCATAGGTACAGGACCCTACTGTGCCCAATATATGGTGATACCTGATGAGCCGTTGAATCATGTCACTGAGTCGTGTGAATGTTATCATGACAGCGGTTCCAGGAGTAGGTGTGGCCTTAAGCAGAGGCAAACCATTAGCTGTCCGAGCATGTGGGTCAAAGAAACCGTACCTGCCATCTCTGGTTCTGAAAACTGCAATGCACAGCGAAGTCATTAGCAGCAAAGCATACTGCACATCTGTTAATAAGCAGCTCAGTCCCATCTCGAGGTCCAGAAAGGTATCAACAGCTCCGGGATCCGGATCTCCAAACGTACCGTATCTAGACAGCTGTAACATGTCAACAGTCTGCATGTGTCTGCGTGCAGGAACCTGGTTAGGGAGCTCATCGGTTGTCAGATGGGCGTGATCAACAGTTTTTCTGATTTCTCTGTACATCACATCACCTTTATCCAAAACACGGTCCAGGTCTGCTCTGGTGATGTGTTCGTTCTCATACAGGAATGCTAGAAATGTCAGTGAGTTACAGGTGCACTGCTGGTTCCTGGATTGGCCGTATTTCAGAGACGCTTGGCTGCGTGACGCACAGACGTTTTTTTCACCTGACTGATTAACAGAGTTAACATTTCTTACCCGAGAAGAGCCTGATACAGACTGATAATTACTGTGGTTTCCCTTCTTAACAGTGTCTGGATATGATACCTGGGTTGAACATGGCTTGTCAGTTTGGGCTACGTAGTTTATCTGACCAGAGTTGGATGGACCGGCAGTACGTGACACACTAGCAAGTTTTCTCTTTACCATGTCTGCATATGTTACCTGTTGTACACCTGGATCATTGGTTTCACCTCTGCGGTTTACCTGTTTAGTGTTAGACGGACCTGCTGCAGGTGACTCACTTACACATCTCCTCTTTGGCATGTCTGTATAAGATACCTGTGGTTGACATGACGCACTTTCACCTCTCTGTTTCTCAGCATCACATACTTCAGACTTCTTTACCTCTCCAATGCTCTGAGGAACACCATCTGCTTTTACACGGTCAATGTCATGTAACCTCTGCCAGCGCTGGCTTGCAACCTGTGACTTCTTACTCTTCCTCGGCATTTTAGCTGTTCTTTCACAACAATGTGTTTATACAACAATTTAAAGTTAATGATAAGCAGCAGTATAGGCAAAAGCGCTTTATTTCTTCAAGAGAGATCGTTATTCAACAGCTCTTATAGTCTCCAAAACATGTAATTTATAACTGTGTGTATACCAACAATAGTTTATCAAATGTTTTCTAAGGAAATCCTAGGCAAGACTAAATAAATGTTTTAAGAAAAAACACAAATCAACAACAATTTTTAAATCTTTGAACCTTCTGCTTGAAATAATATGCAAGTCAAATATTCTATATGAAACGTGTTTATTTTTTCTTTCAAAATCAGGGACGCAGATATGGTGGTGCTGATGACACTTCTTCTGGTGAAACTCTGGATCCACAGACAGGAAAAGAAAACCTGGAACAACAATGAGACTTTTGCAAAATTAGGGCTTTTTCCAATACAGTGGTTGGATTAAATGTACAGCTTTTCAGAAGTTCGGTTTCTCAAAAAAAGGGTTGATTGTTTACAAAGGTTTCTCAAAAAAGGTGGCTTGTTAAAATAGGTCTCAAAAAGATTTATTGCAAAGGGGTCTCAAATGATTTGTTGCAAAGGGGTCTCAAATGATTTGTTGCAAAGGGGTCTCAAATGATTTGTTGCAAAAGGTCTCAAAGATTTATTGCAAAGGGTCTCAAAGATTTGTTTCAATAGGTCTCAAAGATTTGTTTCAATAGGTCTCAAAGATTTGTTTCAATAGGTCTCAAAGATTTGTTTCAATAGGTCTCAAAGATTTGTTTCAATAGTTCTCAAAGATTTGTTTCAATGGTATCAAAGATTTGTTCAAGGATTGTATTAGTAGCCAGAGTGGGATAGAAGGGGGATAGAAAGGCAGAGTGGCTTTTCAATCAGAAAGAGTGGTAGAGGAGACAGGAAAGTCAGAGGGACCAAAATGATAGGGGAGAGTGGGGAGACTGGACAGGATACCTGTAAGACACAATGGAAAAAAACATTAATCTTTTTTTATTAAAGAAATAAAATTAAATGATCCAACATCCACCCAAAGCTAATGAGATTATAATGTACTTTTACTCAATCCACCAAGTGGCTGTCCTCAACTATACATCTATCAAAAGTCAAGTTGAGTCAAAAGCTGGAAGTGACCATTGTCTTGTTCGATAACCCTTCAATCAAATTAATGACTAAAAATACAGTGTTCATAAGAGATAATTGAAAATGAAGAACATTATTTATCCCCTAAGGGTAATTCAATTGTCTGTAGTCTCACTTGTCATGTCTCAAAAAGTCATCTACTATTTAAATTGTAGAGTCTGATGGCTGTGGGTACAAAAGATCTTATGAGTCTTTCTGTCCTGCAGCAGAGAGAGGAGCCGTCCACCACCATAGGCCTTTCGGTCCACCAAGGTGTTGTGAAGTGGGTGAGCCATATTCTTTAGAATAGCCTCCACCTTCCTCACAGTACATCTCTCCACCACATCCTCCAACGAGTCCAACTTGAATCCAACCACAGAACCAGCCTTTTTTAAATTTAGGACCTCAAAGTATTTTACAAAAGTTTCTATTATCCCTGCGCATTTTAGACTCTTTATTTTAAGTTCCCTCTATAATGTTTATAACCATGTCCTGGTAAGCAGTAATAACAATGGATTACTCTGCTGATAAAATATGATGTGTTTTGGAAAATGTTATTTCCTTTACCGTGTTTTAAGTATTCCTACAATGTAATAAGTTATAATGAGGCCAAGCAGCTCCGTAAGCTGTAAACAGAAGCATGCAAAGTACCTTAGAAGGATATACACATTTCTAAACGGAGGATTAAATGAATAATAAAATAAATCAATGGCGGCATAGATAATGATTGTCTATTCCATATTAAGGAACATTAAATTTGATTTTTTTTCTAATATAAGAGCTGCACAAAAGGAGGTAATCACACTCAATTAGTAATTCTTTGGATTTTCATGATTAAAAAATTACAACTCCACAATTTAATAGTAACAAATTGCTTTCCAATGATTGGAAATAAAATGCAAATAAGTGTATTGCATATCACATTTAACCTGTTCATTTCCAACTGTGAATATTACATTATCAAAGGGGAAAAAAAGTTAAGTTTGGACATGATGAGGGGTCCATAATGTATTGAATAAAGGCACCCTGCGTTATTCATGAAAATGTCATTCCTGTGTGAACTTACGTCGAGTCGCCACAAAACGGTCTGCACTAGGAGACAGGATAGAGTTGGCAAGAAGGAAAATGGAAAAAAAGAGACAAGAGATTTTTAGTTTAGTTGTACAAAACCAGCACATCTCACTGCATTGTCGTTTCAATTGTAATCAGCCTGCAAAATTATTTCTATTTGGTTCTGCTTTAGTTTAAATAAAGTGTTTTTTTAAATGGTTTGTGTTACAATGAGAATGTGCTGCAGTTTGTCAAATAAGGACATAGTGTCAGGTTTTTACATGATGTGTTGTAAAAAGTGTCAGCGTTACTTTATTTGTGAACTTACAGCTGAATCGGCAACAGTGAACAGGGCCCGCAGCAAAGATAGCGTTGAGGAGTTCAGAGGAGGGAAAAGACAGAGGGACAAAAAAAATAAAATTTAGTTGCTCTCTTAGCCTGTAAAAATGTTTGTTAAAATGGAGAGAATTGCACAAACACAATGAAGGACCTCTTTACTTTTTAATTTCTTATGTTATTGAGGTGAAATACGCAACACTGAAATGTCATTATAAACTGCAGAGAAAAATGTAACATTTAATTGATTGCTTCATAAGTATATACAAGTGTGAACTTACACTTCAGAGTTGGTAGGGAATTTCACACAGGTCAGAGGACAAGATGAGGCAAGAGGAGGGGGAGAGGGAAGAAAAGAGATTTTTATTACACTCAAAAGAGACGCCCTCACAGCTCACTTCATTCAAAGAAATGATTATTATCAAAGTAATAGTAATTATCTGAATGATTTTCCCACTTAATTATTGTCAAAATTAAGATTCAGACTTTCCCATCAAGTTAAAATGTTTAAAATAAATGAATTTAGTAGTATAGTAACATTGTTAGCTCACTGTTGTCTACTAGGAAAAAACTGTGTCCCATCTATGATTTTCATATAGGATATACAACAGTGTTGCAGATAAATCAACATTTCATATCAATTTAAACTCAGTATTTGAAAAATGCATCATATGTTGTACATTATCTTGAATGACATGTTGTTTAACAGGATTAAGCTAATCATTAATCCAGTTATTCTTATTTTGTTTGTTGTCAGTCTTGGTCAAAACACTTATACTTACCAACAAATGCACTGGAGCGGATGTATCTTCTGTTTGAGACAAGAAACACTACATTAGTGTTGTCTGACAAATAGTACATTAAAAACAATAGGCCTATAAAGAAAACTAACATTATTACAGTAGTTGGGCTAATTGAAAACTAAACAGCTCCAACAGATCACCTGGCTGTTAGCTGCAGCTGAAAATGTCACACATAAAACATACTGTATTAAAGTATATATACCTCAGATAAAGTATCTTTGCTGTGGTGTTAGCACATCACCAATATCCAAATTAACAGCTTGTTATCAAAGGTAAATTAGGTACAGTAGAAGGTGAAGTTCAGTAGCAGCCAGCAAGACAGAGACAGACCAAGAGCAGGTTCACCAACTTCAAGGCAGCTAACTCTCCATCCATCAACTCAATATTAAGATAAGAACTTTATTGATCCCTAAGGGGAAATTCAACTGGAATATATTTATTAATTGGAACTTGGTATTGTTAAACATTAAATACTGAATTAATTTTATGTTTTGCAATGTAAATATCTCTATCATCCCCATCATGAATAAAACCTGGTTTGTGCTATACCTGGATGTTTGCTAAATGCAGCCTATAGTTTAATACATCTACAATGGCTGATAAAAAGTGACCAGGAGCTAAACAGCTGACGTCTCCAGACCAGTTCCCCAGCAATGACTCAGTCATAGTAATGAACTGAACCTGTAGCAATGGCGCTAGCATCATTAGTTAGCTAGTTAGTCAGTTAATACTTGACAATATGAGTATTCTTCTCAGTCCCATTGTCAGTAAACTCCACAGCCTGGACATCATTTGGCATGCTTTATAGTACCGCAGCGGCTTACATATTCACTTTATTTTGTGCTCAGCTGGCTAATGATTCAGCCTCACAGCTAAAGGTATGTTAGCTTTAACGTGAGCTCGACGCTAGCGGCGCTAACTCGGCGCTAGCGGCGCTTACTCGGCGCTAAGTCGGCGCTAGCTCGACGCTAACTCGGCGCTAGCTCGACGCTAGCGGCGCTAACTCGACGCTAACAGCGTTAGCGTATGCTTTTTCAACTCATTATCTCGACCACTTCAATCATGAATAAACTCTTCATTGATTATAACACAAACCAGTGGCTTTTAAAACGTTACATCGCCGTTTGGAGTGTTCAGAAGTTAGAGAGACTGTGCTCTGACTCACCTTCGTCGAGGTCGGAGAAGGAGAGCGCGAGCCACCAGTGGGTCGCGGTATTAATGTTTGAGGCGTTCAGGGACACTCGGAAATGTCAGACTTCGCACGACGGAAAGGCAGTGGTTCAATCAATTCACTTTAATTGTTTTCTAGTACTAATAGTAGCAAGACTAGTTGAAGTAGAAGTGATGTAAGTAGTAGTTGTAGAAGTGGAAGTGGGATTTTGTTTGAAGAATTGAAATATGCATGAATAGTAAAAATGATTTAAATTGGGGAAAATATAACTAATAAAAAATCCTAAAGTATTAGAAAGGTTTGAAGAATCAGAGAGGTTTGAATAAGAGTGAGTTTAAATTTGTTAGAAGAATTGAATAATGCGTAAATAATGAGAATGATTTTAAATTAAGGACAATTTAAATGAATAGAAATCCTCTGTAGACTCCATAATGTCCTCAATGAGCAGAATTCTTGAAGCCTTAAATGTGTCTGTATCTCAAAGTTTGTGAGAGAAGATAGGTGATGAAGCAGAATGAGAGAACCACAAGACTCTGTTGAACACATTAACACAATTTATTATCACAATCCTGAAAAACACCCCATAATATCTTCAATGAGCTGAATTTTTCAAGCCCAGAATGGTTTCTGTAGCTCAAAGTTTGTGGGTGGAGATAGGTGGTGAAGCAGACACATATTAACTGTGTGTACAAGAAGCTGAGCTGCAAGGTAGACCTGACAAAGCAACAAGTACAAGAATGTGTGTGTGTGTGTGTGTGTGTGTGTGTGTGTGTCTCGTTAATGATTGCATCCTAAACAGCTGTGACATCAAAGCCATGACCTATTGACCTATTGTTTGAATGGAGAAGCTGCTGAACTGCAGTGAATTTAGGGTTCTGAACTTCTTCACATAGCACGATTTCCTTAAGTCCCAGAATGAAAATAAGAACATCGTACGAATCCTCCATCCTTCATGAACACAATGATCTGTTTTTCATGTCTGTACTCCGAAAAATGTGGCCACAACAGCGAGTTAAAAAAGTCTGAGCCTGAGTGACGATAAGGATTTTCTTGGAGAAGAAATACATTAGGGCCAATGGGGAGATATTTGCGCCTATCTGGACAGTTGGTCACCTGCTGGCCAAGGGGTACGATTTAATGATTTGAAACCTCTTTTGTGAGAAGCAGGACACATATACCTCCATTTTGATGTATTATTTGTGTCAGTGGAGTGAGATTTGTGGGCGTGGGAGCGATATATTCGAGCGAGGTTCTGTCGATCAGAGACGAGGTCTGCACTCTAGCTGATGACATCATCACTCTAAACTCTCCAATACACACCCATTATAAAGCTTGAAATTTGCTGAAAACCACAAGTTGCATAAAGCTAAATTGTGGAAAAACTGTAAAAGATATCAAAAAACTGAATACAACTATAATAGTCGACAAGTGAATGAACATTTTAAAGCAAAAATGAGGTCTCTAGGTGAAAGTATGCTGAAGTTATAAGGTCTAGAAGGTGGAAGAATGAAAGGAAGAAGTTGAAGATTTCCCCATTGACTTCAATGTTAAAATTTTTGCACAAAAAGTTAAAAAAATCAAAAAGTATAAAGGGTAGAAAGAAAAAAAATAGACGCCATAATGTCCTGAAGGAGTGGAATAGTTTAAAGTTTGAATGGTTGAAATCGGACAAAGTTTGAAGGAGGAGAAGCGGTCCAAAAAAGGGACGGAAGAATAATAATAATAACTAGAAAAATTGCATTTCCTTGCAGAAAATGCGTGGAAATGCTGAGTGCTGAAAGCTGAAAAAGCAATGCTAAACTGCTAATAAAACATGGAGAAAGGTATAAATGTTAAAGCTGTTGAAGGGGTGAAAAAGAAATATAAGTTGGATAATAGTTTAATTGGTTGAAGGACAAATAGTATGAATATGCTCTATAAAAGGAAATTTTATTCATGCTGAAAGAGGCTAGAAAAATGTCTAAAATTGCACAAAGTTTGAATGAAGAAGGAAACTGCCTTTAAAGGCAGGAAGGTGAGAAGTGGCATAAGTTTAAGTTGTAGTACTAGAAGAAGTATGATAAGAAGTCAAGTCGTGATACTAGTAGTCATGTCAGCAGTAGAAGTAGATTGAGAATAAAAGAAGTATAAGTCAAAGTAGTAAAGAAAGTAGAAATAGTAGCAATAGCAGCAGTAGAGAAAGTAGAAATAGGAGCAATAGCAGTTGAAGTAGAGGGGAAAGTTCTAGTTTAATTGACATAAGTAGTTGTAGTACTAGAGGTAGGATTTTGTTTGAAGGACAGAATAATGCATAAATATTAAAACTAATATAAAACAGGGAAAATTTTATTAATTAAAAATCCTCAAGTATCAGACAGTTTTTAAGTATTAGAAAGGTTTGAATCATTTTGAATGAGTTTAAATTAGTTTGAAAAATTAAATGATAAATCTTCACTGAGTGACTTTAAAATGTGAAACATTTAAATGAATATAAATCCTAAATACACCCCATAATGTCCTCAATGAGCTTAAATTTTAAAGCCCTGAATGGTTTCTGTAGGTCAAAGGTCATGTGAGGAGATAGGGGCTGAAGGTTTTTCAAGCGCTCTAGGAAAGGGTTTTAAGTGTCATCCCCAGTGCTATGTGTACTGAGCCTGGCTTCATGTGTCTCATATGGCCATTAGAAGCAGCTTTCCAGTCAGCTGTGTGTCTCCAGGTGCACAAATTGGTTGCCATGGGGACCTTGGATGAATAACTATAGCAGGAGAAAGAAGGCTTGAAGCTAAGGAAACAGGACTCCAAGTAGGCCCTGACGCTCATCCTCTGTATAAATTCATAAGGAGCTTGTGAGAACACAAGATTTTGCTGAACACATTAATACAATTTATTATCACAATCCTCAAAACACCCCATAATATCTTCAATGAGCTGAATTTTTCAAGCCCAGAATGGTTTCTGTAGCTCAAAGTTTGTGGGTGGAGATAGGTGGTGAAGCAGACACATATTATCTGTGTGTACAAGCAGGTGAACTGCAAGGTAGACCTGACAGCAACAAGTACAAGAATGTGTGTGTGTGTGTGTGTGTCTCATTAATGACTGCATCCCTAACAGCTGTGAGATCAAAGGCAAATCACTGACCTACTGTTTGAATGACAAGCAGCTGAACAGCAGAGGATTAGAAGCCTGTGAACTTCTTCACATAGCGTGATTTCCTTAAGTCCCAGAATGAAAATAAGAACATCGTACGAATCCTCCGTCCTTCATGAACACAATGATGTGTTTTTCATTTCTGTACTCCGAAAAATGTGGCCACAACAGCGAGTTAAAAATGTCTGAGCCTGAGTGACGATAAGGATTTTCTTGGAGAAGAAATACATTAGGGCCAATGGGGAGATATTTGCGCCTATCTGGACAGTTGGTCACCTGCTGGCCAAGGGGTACGATTTAATGATTTGAAACCTCTTTTGTGAGAAGCAGGACACATATACCTCCATTTTGATGTATTATTTGTGTCAGTGGAGTGAGATTTGTGGGCGTGGGAGCGATATATTCGAGCGAGGTTCTGTCGATCAGAGACGAGGTCTGCACTCTAGCTGATGACATCATCACTCTAAACTCTCCAATACACACCCATTATAAAGCTTGAAATTTGCTGAAAACCACAAGTTGCTTAAAGCTAAATTGTGGAAAAACTGTAAAAGATATCAAAAAACTGAGTACAACTATAATAGTCGACAAGTGAATGAACATTTTAAAGCAAAAATGAGGTCTCTAGGTGAAAGTATGCTGAAGTTATAAGGTCTAGAAGGTGGAAGAATGAAAAGGAAGAAGTTGAAGATTTCCCCATTGACTTCAATGTTAAAATTTTTGCACAAAAAGTTAAAAAAAACAAAAAGTATAAAGGGTAGAAAGAAAAAAAATACACGCAATAATGTCCTGAAGGAGTGGAATAGTTTAAAGTTTGAATGGTTGAAATCGGACAAAGTTTGAAGGAGGAGAAGCGGTCCAAAAAAGGGACGGAAGAATAATAATAATAACTAGAAAAATTGCATTTCCTTGCAGAAAATGCGTGGAAATGCTGAGTGCTGAAAGCTGAAAAAGCAATGCAAAACTGCCAATAAAAAATGGAGGAAGGTATAAACGGAAAAACTGTAGAAAAGGTGGAGTAGAAGAAGAAGAAATTGTATGAATGGAAGAATTGTAGTATAGCTGGAGGTAAATTAGTTGGATTAATGTACAAATTGTCTGATAGCCTAAGTGAAAAATGTATATGATTGATGTGAATAAACAGAACTGATATGGATAATTGAATTTGAAAAACAAATGCCTTTAAACAATGTGTAACAATGTTCCTATTAAATGTACAAATAGTAAAACAGATTTTTGCAGTCTGCAGCATCCAACCATAGTAACTTGAGAATGCAGAACAGCACCATCTATTGCCCTGCTTCAGTTACTGCCCTACATCTGAATGTAGAAAGTATGAAACAGCTGAAGTTAAATTAATTGTATAAATGTAGAAAGTATAGAAAAGAAAAGCAGAAGTAGAAGAAAAAGAAGAAGTTAGTATGTTAAAAGAGTTAAAGACAAGAACTGTAACAACAAAGTTCATATTGGGGCTGTATTTTCTACTGACAGAGAGACAGTAATGCACACATGGAAACAGTGTGTGTGTGTGTGTGTGTGTGTGTGTGTGTGTGTGTGTGTGTGTGTGTGTGTGCGCGCGCGCGCGCCGAGCCCGTGCGTGTGCATATGCGTGTGTGATCGAAGCACACAGCCCATGACAAGTGCAGAATCTGACAGAGACAGTAAGAGAGAAAGAGACACAGTAATGCACTCATGGAAACAGTGTGTGTGTATGTGTGTGTGCCCGCGCGCGCACGAGCGGCCAAGTCCGTGCGTGTGCGATCGAAGCACACAGCCCATGACAAGTGCAGAATCTGACAGAGAGATAGTAAGAGAGACAGTATTGCACTCATGGAAACAGTGTGTGTGTGTGTGTGTGTGTGTGTGTGTGTGTGTGTGTGTGCCCGCGCGCGCACGAGCGGCCGAGTCCGTGCGTGTGCATGTGCGTGTGCGATCGAAGCACACAGCCCATGACAAGTGCAGAATCTCTGGCTCTGAAGGAATGTACTCACCTCCTGGGCAAGCTGTACAATTTCATGATTTCAGACCGATTTTGTGAGAAGCAGGACGAGTGTACCTCCATTTTGATGTGTTTTTTATGGCTGTGGAGTGAAAATTGCGGCCGCAGCAGCAAAATAATCATGCTTGGTCTAGTGAATCCAAAAGGCCTCGCCCGCATCTAGTGATGACGTCAGACGCTGTAGCGTGAGTCAGGCTGAAAAAGGCAGAAGACTTCATGTTGCTCCAAGCGAAATTGTGCAAAAACGGTAGGAAATAGCAAAAAGGAGTGAATACAACATTTGTAGCAGACACGTTGCTGAACATTTTAAAGCAAAAATGAGGTCTGTAGGTGAAAGTATGCAGAAGTTATAAGGGTGAGAAGGTGTTATAGCTGTATCTCCATTCATTTGTAATGGAACAAATTTTGCAGAAAAAGTGAAATATTGCAAAAAGTATAAATGGTAGAAAGGTGAAAAGTAATAGCAATAATGTCCTGAAGGAGTGCATTGGTATAAAGTTTGAATGGTTAAAATAGCACAAAGTGGTAAGGAGTTGAAAAGGGCCAAAAAAGGTACGGAAGAATAATAATAAGAAAAAAAATAATAATAATAATAAAGAAATAGTAGAATAACAATAAGTGGAAATGCTGTGTCAGCATTTCCACTTAACTAGAAAAATTGCATTTCCTTGCAGAAAATGCGTGGAAATGCTGAGTGCTGAAAGCTGAAAAAGCAATGCTAAACTGCTAATAAAACATGGAGAAAGGTATAAATGTTAAAGCTGTTGAAGGGGTGTGAAAGAAATGTAAGTTGGATAATTGATTAATTGGTTGAAGGACAAATAGTATGAATATGCTCTATAAAAAGAAATTTTATTCATGCTGAAAGAGGCTAGAAAAATGTCTAAAATTGCACAAAGTTTGAATGAAGAAGGAAATTGCCTTAAAAGGCAGGAAGGTGGGAAGTGGCATAAGTTTAATTTTTTAAGTATTAGAAAGGTTTGAATCAGTTTGAATCAGTTCAAATTAGTTTGAAAAATTAAATGATAAATCATCACTGAGTGACTTTAAAATGTGAAAAATCTAAATGTATATAAATCCTAAATACACCCCATAATGTCCTCAATGAGCTCAAATTTTAAAGCCCTGAATGGTTTCTGTAGGTCAAAGGTCATGTGAGGAGATAGGGGCTGAAGGTTTTTCAAGCGCTCTAGGAATGGGTTTTAAGTGTCATCCCAGGTGCTATGTTTACTGAGCCTGGCTTCATGTGTCTCATATGGCCATTAGATGCAGCTTTCCAGTCAGCTGTGTGTCTCCAGGTGCACAAATTGGTTGCCATGGGGACCTTGGATGCATAACTATAGCAGGAGAAAGAAGGCTTGAAGCAAAGGAAACAGGACTCCAAGTAGGCCCTGACGCTCATCCTCTGTATAAATTCATAAGGAGCTTGTGAGAACACAAGATTTTGCTGAACACATTAATACAATTTATTATCACAATCCTCAAAACACCCCATAATATCTTCAATGAGCTGAATTTTTCAAGCCCAGAATGGTTTCTGTAGCTCAAAGTTTGTGGGTGGAGATAGGTGGTGAAGCAGACACATATTAACTGTGTGTACAAGCAGGTGAACTGCAAGGTAGACCTGACAAAGCAACAAGTACAAGAATGTGTGTGTGTGTGTGTGTGTCTCATTAATGACTGCATCCCTAACAGCTGTGAGATCAAAGGCAAATCACTGACCTACTGTTTGAATGACAAGCAGCTGAACAACAGAGGATTAGAAGCCTGTGAACTTCTTCACATAGCGTGATTTCCTTAAGTCCCAGAATGAAAATAAGAACATCGTACGAATCCTCCGTCCTTCATGAACACAATGATGTATTTTTCATGTCTGTACTCCGAAAAATGTGGCCACAACAGCGAGTTAAAAATGTCTGAGCCTGAGTGACGATAAGGATTTTCTTGGAGAAGAAATACATTAGGGCCAATGGGGAGATATTTGCGCCTATCTGGACAGTTGGTCACCTGCTGGCCAAGGGGTACGATTTAATGATTTGAAACCTCTTTTGTGAGAAGCAGGACACATATACCTCCATTTTGATGTATTATTTGTGTCAGTGGAGTGAGATTTGTGGGCGTGGGAGCGATATATTCGAGCGAGGTTCTGTCGATCAGAGACGAGGTCTGCACTCTAGCTGATGACATCATCACTCTAAACTCTCCAATACACACCCATTATAAAGCTTGAAATTTGCTGAAAACCACAAGTTGCATAAAGCTAAATTGTGGAAAAACTGTAAAAGATATCAAAAAACTGAGTACAACTATAATAGTCGACAAGTGAATGAACATTTTAAAGCAAAAATGAGGTCTCTAGGTGAAAGTATGCTGAAGTTATAAGGTCTAGAAGGTGGAAGAATGAAAGGAAGAAGTTGAAGATTTCCCCATTGACTTTAATGTTAAAATTTTTGCACAAAAAGTTAAAAAAAACAAAAAGTATAAAGGGTAGAAAGAAAAAAAATACACGCAATAATGTCCTGAAGGAGTGGAATAGTTTAAAGTTTGAATGGTTGAAATCGGACAAAGTTTGAAGGAGGAGAAGCGGTCCAAAAAAGGGACGGAAGAATAATAATAATAATAATAACTAGAAAAATTGCATTTCCTTGCAGAAAATGCGTGGAAATGCTGAGTGCTGAAAGACGAAAAAGCAATGCTAAACTGCCAGTAATAAATGGAGAAGGTATAAATGAAAAAACTGTTAAAGGGGTGAAGTGTTATAAGTAGAAGTTGTATGAATGTTTCAACCGTAACAGAACTGAAGAAGATGATGAAAAAGAGATGAGTTGTATGGATGTAAAAACACTGGGAGAGGTAAACCAGTAGCTGTATGAATATTCAAATTGCTAAAGAACTGAACTTGAACATTACAGAAAATATGGTAAAGAATTTTAAAGATGGCTGAAAAGGCCTTCATGTTGGAAGAAGTAGAAATGAATGTAGATGAGAAATGAATACATTACACAAATATTTTTAATGTAAAATTTGAATCAACTTGAAAATTCAAATTGAGTTTTTACATAAGTAAAACCAAAACAAAGAAAAAAAGAAAAATATTTTTGTCAATTCTTTAACATTTTGTGAGCAATGAAATGATTAATCATAAAATATAAAAAAATTATATAAAAAAAAAAACATCAAAACATAAACACATAAAGAAATAGTGCTCCATAGTGCCTTAAATCAAATTATAAACAATTTGTTTGTGAACAGGTTTTGGAAGCAGAAATCTTTACATGGGTGACCAATCTGTCTCTTAAGCTTAAGGTTTTAAGATTGTAGTTGCTGTGATTGTTGATAGACGAAGGTATCACATTTTCAGTTGTTTCTAAAATTGTTTAGCCCAATCATTAAAGGCTCTTCACACAGTTGTTAGACTGAGGCTAACACCCCATTATTTACTGGATTCAAACTCCAGCAGCCCTGTACCCACATTCACCTCTTTTCTTGTGTTTTCGGATTACTAAGCCTTAACAAAAGTTGGCTCATAAAATTTGTCATGGCCCATTGAGCCAAGTCCTGTGTTGTGGGCTTTAAAAACAGACCTTGAAATTTGATTTCAAAGTCTGATACAGGACTGTTATGTGTGTTTTTAAGGGTTTAGATTAGCCTAAGACTAAGTTCGCACATCTGAAAAACCTTTATACCTATACATTAAAAAAAATATGAAAATGGTGACTTGAGAGTTATAAAAAAAATTGTTACTAAAATCGGTCAGCAGTATTACAAAGTATTGCAAAGTTATCCAGGCTTGTGGAAATATACAGGCAAAGTAAGGTGAAAGGCATATGAATTAAATACGGCATTGTAGTATTTTTTAAAGCTAACTGCAGTGAAATGTGGGCCCTCTCATGTAGAAAAAAAAGAAAATTATAGAAAAATAAATGATTATAATAATAAATAAAATTAAATGATATTAAACTGAAATATTAAACAAAATCTAAAATGATCAGATTAAAAAGTAGATTTGATAACTTGAAATAAATTGATGTAATGTATTGGTCCACCTTACCACCAAAAGGCTTTTCACAGTAGACCAAGGCTAATACTGTCATCAGCTCATTGTAGTGGACTGACAATCTGGTCAGCAAAAATAACTCAGCAGTTTACTGTACAGTGTAGTACAGAAGTCTTTTACAGAAATTAAAATATATTTTTTTAATTAAATCTAAATTTAAAATTTAAAATAATGTGGAGGGTAAGGTAGAGAATGCAAATGCAAAAGGTGCAAAGTTATCCAGGCTTGTGGAAATATACAGGCAAAGTAAGGTGAAAGGCGTATGAATTAAATATGGCACTGAAGTATTTTTTATAGCATGTATTGGTCCACCTTACCACCCAAAAGGCTTTTCACAGTAGTTAGACCAAGGCTAATACTGTCACCAGCTCATTGTAGTGGACTGACAATCTGGTCAGCATTTTAGATCCCAGTGTTTTCTTATCCAAACATTCACACTACTTGTCTTACTGAAATGCTGGGTTGTCTTCACGTTGATAGTTTCTTTTTAAAAAGTTTTCTATTATGGAGAATTACATTTTAAGGATAAGCATAAAAACTTTGTTCCTCTATGAAATCCCTTCACACAGCTCGTTTAACCAAGCCCTGTGTTTGAGGATTGTGATGACAACCTTCAGCAGGGATTGTTTCACACTGTAATGCTGGGATCACTGCTGTCCAAAACATTAGCCCAAGACTAAGCACACGTGAAAAATTTCAGTGTACCTACCAGCTGAAACCCAAAGTACATCATTTATTTCTAAAACACGACTTCTCTTGTAGGTAAATTTGAGGGATATGGTGAGCATATTAAAGCGAGAAATTCAGCTGCCTGCAACAACTGAAGTAACTGGTATTTTTTCCCTTCATCAGTGTTGGTCATCTTTTGATATAAGGACAGATACACAGTAAAAGGGGAAGAAAATACTCAAATAAAATAGAACAAATAAAGTCCAAGAAACATAAAGGAAACTTAAAATATTAACAGATATCGACAACCGATCACTTAATGTAGAAAACAGGATTCAAAACAATATAAGAGTAATAGTTCTCCTGTCCTGAAGACAATCAGTCAGTTCCTCAAATGAGTACTGTGTTCTGTCTGGGCACTTTTTTTCAAAACCAAAAGCAGAGCCCGGTACAGTTCTGAGTGAAGGTTTAGAGTGAGGAAATGTTTTGACCTTTGACCTGTGGTTGTAGAATCGCTGTGTGCAGTTATCAGTGTTCGAGTTGACAGCATCACTGGAGTCAGAGGCAGGAGGAGGAGAGGTCTGAAAAAAACAAACAAAATCCCCTTCACTTTAACTCTGTAATCCTGTGCTAACAGTAATTCTGTGCTTTTCTATGTTGGTCAAACATGGTTTTTGTTATGGGGCAAGGAAATACACCGTTACCTCGGGGAAAGTTTAAAGCTGCAGTAAAGATAAACTGATGATCTGAATGTGTTGACATCTGCTGCAGCTTGCTTCATAGGGCTGCAGGACTTGAAGGATCACCATTAGTAGGACTCTGCTGAGCTGCACTGGCTACACCGTGGATGAACAGACAGTGACTTGAAGTAGGAGAATGTAGCTGGTTCAAAACAGGAAATAAACAGAAACATTTGTGTTGATAATCTATGAAACTAAACACGTTGAATAAATACACACATCATTACAATGAATACCTTTAGCACTGCAGCAGAGCAAAAAATATTTCTGTCCAGAGCAACTTCACCAGGTCTGCAGCAGCAAAGCTTCCTCACACAGAGAGGCTCAAGGCTCAGGGTGGCTGCATGATGTCCATCTTTGGTGCGTTCAGCTGCCTGAGTGTCTAAGCTGTTCTTCCTCTCTTAACTGGCTTGAAGAAGACCTGGGAGAAAACACTGCTGTTAAAGACGATGATATCAGCAGAGCTGTACAATAGCGTCACAAGCATTAATACAGCAGCTAAGATAACTAAGTTCACCAAGACATTACCTCAGACTTTCTTGAAGAGGGGTTTATCTCTTGGAGGTTCAGCAGGAACGAGCCCAGTGAGTGACAGGTACTACAGCATCAGTTCTGCTTCAGCCTGGTGTCTGGTGGTCCTTGAGAGCTGCTTCAGGACATCTGGAGCACGAGCAGGTAAAACACATGTTTGTGTAGTCCATGAGAGAACGGTCCTGGTGGGTGCTGCAGTCTGTCCAGCACAGCGATGATGGTTGTTGAGAGCAGCAGGGGGATGGTGTGGAGGATGTCATCTCTTCTTCACCTCTGACCAAAGACTGGGTTAAACAGCAAGTAGACTGTGTCTTTGAGTGGTCCAAAGTGATGTGTTTACTTCTGGTTGACGGTTTGGTAATTTTTTTCTGCTCACAGTGAGCTAGTCAGGACAGCACTAATGGTCAGGACAAAGATGGCAGAGACAACTGAAGAAGAAAAAAAAAAAACCCAAACAAAAGGAAACTTGGCTTTACTCTACTGTACCTACAGGTGATGTGTTTACTTTTGGTTGACAGTTTGATAATATTTTCAGTTTACATTGAGCTAGTTTGGACATCACTAATGGAGGTCAGGCCAAAGATGTAGGATACAACTGAAAAAATAAAATAAAATGAAACAAAACATACCCAAAGGAAAGGAAAGGAGTTTGCCCTAGTGTACTTACAGCCACCCATGCTAAGAGAGTGGTGTAAAGTTGGGTGGAGAAAAGGGGGGTTTCAG